CAAAGGCCTGGTGGAACAGCTCTGTCTTGCAGGCCCTGCAGAAAGATGTCAAGTCCCGCAGGGCCCTGGTCTCTTGTGACAGAGCGTTCCACCAGATCGGAGCCACAGCCGAAAAAGCCCTGGCTCTAGTTGAGGCCAGCCTAACTTCTTTGTGGCCCGGGACCTCCAAGATGTTTTTATTTGAAGACCGTAAGTTCCTCTGTGGGGCATACCAGGAGAGGCGGTCCCGTAGGTACGAGGGTCCTAGGCCCTATAGGGCTTTAAAGGTTAAAACCAGCACCTTAAACCTGACCCTGTACTCCACCGGGAGCCAGTGCAGCTGGTATAGCAGTGGATGAATATGATCTCGCAGCAAAGACCTCGTAAGGAGTCTCGCTGCAGCATTCTGCACCCGCAGGAGTTTCTGGGTCAGTCTCAAGGGCAGCCCCACGTAGAGTGAGTTACAATAATCCAATCTGGAGGTGACCGTCGCGTGGATCACAGTGGCTAGGTCAGGGCGAGAGAGGTATGGAGCCAACTGCTTAGCTTGGCGGAGATGGAAAAATGCTGCCTTTGTTATAGCTGCAATCTGCGCTTGGGTCTATGGGGCTAGAAGATAGTTTGTCATTCTTTTATCTGTGTTTGGGTGGGCTCTTCATGGGAAGAAAGGTCCCCTGCCTGTCTCATCATGGTCCTGTCTCCCCCCCCCCCCCCAGTCTCTTCAGCGTCATCCTGGAACAAGTTTCCCACAAGCCTGGAGAGGCTCATCACATGAGTGGGAAGCCGGGTGGGTTTGATGTCAAAGCTCTGAGAGCCTTCCGTGTCCTGAGACCTCTGCGCCTCGTCTCTGGTGTCCCTAGTAAGCATCTTTCTCTTTTACAAACAGGGTGCCTCCGGACTGGTGTTTAATTGTTGGCGAACTTTCTGCAATATGTTCTTGACACAATAATCATACATGTAGTGGTTAATTGATTCTGCTTTAGTTTGTTGTGTGATGTCTCCCCAATGCTATCCCATCATTGCTAGCCAGAGGAGCTGTCAGCACAACAAATGGAGGACAAAAATAAACCAGAACATTTGGGGTATAAAAATTAAGGTGTTTCATGCATGCGCTGACTGGAAATTAAGCCGTGTGACCACTACAAAACTTCTGCAGGTGCAAACAGTATTGAAAGTGGGATCACATGTAACTGCTCCAAAAACATCAAGAGCGCAAATAATCATGATGTGCAATAAAAAGGATGTCTAGAGGGGCCCCCATATGTTTCCTTGGTAGTAGCTGATAACAATCAGTGCACCATCCTTTGTGCTTACACATTGCACTGCTTTGGGTCAAATTGAGATGCCGTTGAGTTGATGCTCTGAGCTGCATTTATACACTGTACATATACACTGTACTGTATATGGTATTTCTGCTGTACCACATATCATCTGCCTAACTGTACATACAGTGGTACCTCTAGTTATGAACTTAATTCGTTCCAGAGGTCTGTTCTTAACCTGAAACTGTTCTTAACTAGAGGCTTGCTTTCGCTGATGGGGCCTCTTGCTGCTGTTGTGCCGCCGGCACATGATTTCCGTTCTCATCCTGGGGCAAAATTTTCAACTTGAGGTTACTCTTCCAGGTTAGTGGAGTTTGTAACCTGAAGCGTTTGTAACCTGAGGCGTTTGTAACCTGAGGCGTTTGTAACTCGAGGTACCACTGTATTTGTTTTGCTGCTAGCTGCATAGTGGCTGCACTTTGCTTTGCCAGAGTAGCTTATTGAGCAGAGAGGTGCTGTCGCAGTGTTCTTGTGATGCCATATCCATACTGCATTGTGCAGAGTTGCACTGCTATACCACAGAGCAATAAAGACCATTCACAGCAATTTCGGGGCATATGCCGCATAATGGTTGCCTTATTGCACCTCACTACATGTTGTGGCATTAGCCAGAGTCACTTTATTTTGCCAAAACATATGCTATCATTCTGCACTAGATCACATTGCAGTATTATACTGCAGCTCATGTTTAATCTGCTACAATGCATCACAGGCATTGCACTGTATACAATCAGACCTGCACATCGAGCTTCATGTTGGTTTCCATGCAGACACACAGTATTACCCAGAGCATACCATGTGCACATATTTGCATGCTGTCTTGTTAGGCAGCACATCGACACATTCCATGTCATTGCATTATTGTGACTTACAGCCACTCTGCAAGTCTCCTTAAATACAGTTCCCACAAACTGCATGCCTGCTGTGCAGGGCCACATTAAAGCACGACTTGCATTTTAGTTCATGCTTCCACACTGTATTACATGCTATTCACCATGCTCTGCACTGCTGCAAGCACATTGCACAATGGATAGCAGGAGCAGCTCCTTCAATGCGGTGTATGAAATTTGACCCAGAGACAATTCATCTGCAAATGATTTAGCTTCAGGTTCTCTACAAATGTTCATTGTGCTGTGAAGGAGAATCCTCCACCCCTTCTGGTTGTATTCTGCTCCTGAGACTGAGCTCTCCACCTGCAGCCATGTGCCCCTGTATACATGGCCAGTTGTGATTGCGCTGCATGTTGCAGCACTGCTCATCATGCTTCTGCAAAGTTAACACCATGTTCTGAATCCTCTCCACCAACTAGGCCTGCACATTGTCTTGAACTCTATCATGAAAGCCATGGTGCCCCTCCTGCACATTGCGCTGCTTGTCCTTTTCGTCATCATCATCTATGCTATCATTGGCTTGGAGCTCTTTATCGGCCGCATGCACAAGACCTGCTTCATCGTTGGTTCAGGTATAGTTCTGCAAGTGGGGGGGGGAGGAGGAGGTATTTAGATCATTCTTGCCTCCAAAAATGTTAAATTTTAGGGAGAGAGACCAATCCAAGTGTGTGCAAATGAACTGTAGGGAATAATCCTACTTCCTTCCAAAATGGGGAATAGCACTGCTGGGATGAATTTCTGTTGAATTCAGTTTTCAGTGTGAGAGCTGCAGTTTTGAAGAATGTGAAAGGCTTCTCTTTCAAACATTTTTTCATACCTATTTGCAGCTATCTTTCATCATCATCTGCTGCTTTGTTGCTGTTGTTGTTGCTTGCTGCTGTTGTTATAAACTTGAAAGAGCCTTTCACAATATGATCAGGAGCTACATAGTGAGTTTCATGTGTTACAGGGAAATTGAATGGGAGAGGTTGAGAGACCCCCCCTCCAAGCCTTGCCTCATCACGAGGCAAGAACAGGGAGAGTCTTCACTGCACATTATCAAAACCTCATTCATTTGGGTTCAAAGCTCCATTCGCAAGGTGCCTGTTGGTCAGAGGCTCCAGAGCCCTGACGGCAGTCCCTAATGTTGAGAAAAGGAATAACAGCAGAGTTTGCAGAAGGTGCCCACGACTCCCCACGGAGCCTCAGGCCTCCAACAAAGGAAAACAGGGAAAGTGTCAATACCAAATGTAGTAATTCACTGGTAAATGTATTTACATACTGGCTCAATGAGAAAACTTTAGAAATCCATAAGAAATTACTCGTTGTATCAGTCTCAGTTCCAATGACATTTAGGACCCAGGGAAGTGAGGTATAAAGGGAGGGTTTAGTGAGGCCACCATAATCCCTGAGATGTACAGCCATGTCTGTCTGCAGGACCTTTGCAAGGAGTTTGTACTGTGAAAGACTATATTTGATTGACAGGTACATTCCTGGATCTCAGGTTCTACCTGTGACCACACCTTTTCTGTGATGTATCTATGATGTCTTGATGATGCTTCTGGAAATGTATTATGGGAAACTTTTAAAACTGATGTAACCATTGTTTGGGGCTTCTGGCTGCTTCGTCTTTGTGGTGGTGGGAAGTCTTGCAACAATAAAGATCAGGCCTACAGGCCACTGTTTTGCTTCTATCTCCTGGCTGAAGTCTCTTGCTTGTGACCCCCGACCTTAACCTCTGGGAGTCAAGGTTAGGCAATTGTGGGTGCTCCAAGGGCTCCCTATTACATATGCAACCTCTCTTAGCTCAGTTAGATACTGTGTGCTGCTGATAACGCCAAGGCCATGGTTTGATCCCCATACGGGCCACCTGCATACCCCTGCATTGCAGGGGGTTGGACTAGATGACCCTCAGGGTCCCTTCCAACTCTACAATTCTATGATTCTAACCCAAATAGCCAGTTTCATTTTCAGCAACATAAATGCATTACTGGATTTTAAAAGCTGTCTACTGATATGCTTAAATGCCTAAATGTTAAAAGAATATTGAACTATCAAGTGAATTTTTGGTGTTTGTGTGTTTTAGTAGTCGGGGTGGGGGGTGTTGGAAATACAGGTCACATTTTGAGAGATATGCAGATGTTTGTGAAACATAGTTTGGTTCAGCACTAGAATGAACCTGTCACTCTTCTCCCTGTCCGTCCACCCCCCCAAAAAAATCTCTGCATCTCTTGCAGACCTGGAGGCTGAGGAAGACCCATCGCCTTGTGCCTTCTCTGGGCATGGCCGGGAATGCTTGACGAACAATAGTGAGTGCCGTGGGAAGTGGGAAGGACCCAATGGTGGCATCACCAACTTCGACAACTTCTTTTTTGCCATGCTGACTGTCTTCCAGTGCATCACCATGGAAGGTTGGACCGATGTGCTCTACTGGGTGAGGCAGCTTCATCCACAAGTGGGGGGGGGGAGCAGCACTGCCAATGGCTCATACAGAGCAATCCATACAATCTTCTGCTTATTGTCCCTCTCTCTACTCCAGATGCAGGATGCCATGGGTCATGAGCTGCCCTGGCTCTACTTTGTCAGCCTTGTCATCTTTGGCTCCTTCTTCGTGCTCAATCTGGTTTTGGGTGTGCTGAGTGGGTAAGTCGGATTTGGAGTGAGTATAGCATGTGAATCAGTTTGCCAGTGTATTTCTGGGATGCCTTGGAGGACTGCTTCTTGTGCCTACATACATGTGGTAACTGGATAGCTGGATACATAGATAGCATGTAACCATTCGCACAGCATTCAAATGGGGAGGTGACTTCTGTGAGAGATCCAGAATCTGCCAAAGGTAGCATGGGTTGCATCTGTACTTTGTAATATCTGTTGAATTGATTTTGCTCATTTGCAGTATTAGTGGGAAAGATTCTGCACTGCCACCCACTTCCCACCTCGCAAGTCTAGTAGTAGTGATTCTATACTGTATTTGGTTTTTCATGGTAGCATGTAGTTTCGCTTGCTTGCATGAATCGTGGAATTGTTATGATTCATTCATTGGGTGCTTAAAGTAATGTTAGCCCCACGCGGGGTGTGAGGGGACAAACCCCTTCCCATGGGTTCACAGTCAAATAGGAAGAATGAGGCGTAAGCAAAAAGAGGGTAGGAAGGACATAAAATAAAACCAGGAAATGTAATTATGGTATTGTGTGATGTCTAAATTGACAAACTATTGTTGGGCAAATCAAAACCAGAAAACTTGGTTTGAAGTACTATATTTGTTAACTATGGTTTAGTGTGATGTCTGAATTAAGAAAGCATAGTTTACAATGGTTGCTTACCTTCTCAAAGACACACCTAGTAGAAATGGGAGTGAAGTTATAAACCTGATAAAATCAGTTATAAACTGATAAAACAGGAAATGGTAGCAGACCACCTCTCTAAACCATGACATCTCTTGTGTAGTTAACTGGTTAGCATGAACCATGAGTTGGTATGATATCTTTTAGCCTAGCATATGCAAGTTAGTGTGTGCAATGATTGCTGACAGTTGATGTGGTCCAGGGTCTATGCTGTACTGCTCCCCCCCCCCCAGCGAAGGGAGCAGAAGAAGCTAGTGGGTTATGGATTTAGGGCCAGAATGACTGATGCCAGATGCCAGGAAAAGGGAAGAGCCATTCTGCTGAGTTACCGACTTGTCAGGGCACTTTGATATACAGTGGTACCTCAGGTTACATACGCTTCAGGTTACATACGCTTCAGGTTACAGACTCCGCTAACCCAGAAATATTACCTCGGGTTAAGTACTTTGCTTCAGGATAAGAACAGAAATTGTGCTCCGGCGCCGCCGCAGCAGCAGGAGTGGGGCTTCAGGTTAAGAACAGTTTCAGGTTAAGTACGGACCTCCGGAATGAATTAAGTACTTAACCTGAGGTACCACTGTAGTGTATAATAGTAGTGGTGACTGATTTTTTTTAGCAGGTGTGCACAGGGCCAGCCCAGCCATGAGGCAAGGTGAGGCGACAACCTCAGGCGGCAGGATCCACAGGGGCAGCAGACCCGCCCTCCAAGGAAAGCATCGCCCACTGTTGCCACTGCTGCAGTGGCAGCAACAGCTGCGGCACACTTCTTGGAGAACAAGATCTTCTTGGCAAGCCCCCCCCCCCGCTGCCTCTACTGCAGCCTCTTTGCAAACAGGAGGTGCTGCTGGTCTTTTCCAACTCTTGTTCCTGATATAGATCTTTATTTCCCCATTGTTCCAGGTGTAGATCTCAACTCACCCCTTCTTTCCTGGCCAGAGTGGAGGCACTATTTTGTGGTTCACTGCAGATTCCAAAATGTCTTGGGGCAGCCTTGAGTGTGACACAAGCCATGCCCAAAGCATTAGACGTTATAATAGAGACCCCGAGTGGTATGGTGGTTAGAGTGTTGGACTAAGACCTGGAAGAGCAACGGTCTAGTCCCCACTCGGCCATGAAGCTCACTTGGTGACCTTGGGCCACTCACTGTCTCTCAGCCTCACAGGTTTGGGATCCATGAGTGGGAAAGTGCTGATGTGCTCATGTCCTGCTGTGGAATCTCCATAAGCATCTGGCTGGCCTCTGTGAGAACAAAATGCTGCCCTAGATCTGATCTAGCAGGGCTGCTCTTTTGTCACCCTGTGCCTTGTTATGGTTTTGCCTCTAATCTATGGATCTGTAGAGCAGAGCAGTGCAGAACTAGCGTGCCAGGCAAGAATTCAGGCCTGACTCTTGTATGCCATAGCCAGGAGTGCTACAGATTTCAGGAGTGGTTCAGAAGTGCCATGAACTGTCATAACCCCATGTCACAGGTTGACCATCTGTGGTGTATTTTCTGTTCGCTGTCTGCCTGTGACATCTGTGGCCTAGCTGAGGTGGCCAGATCTGTGGGTAGCTGGCGCGTGGATGATCCTGACATTGGAGTGTATGTATTATATGTTTGTGGAGGTAGGTGGGAGCTTGTACTTAATTTCTCATTCCCTGCTCTGACTTTCTGATGTTTTGATTCAGCCCTGTGTGTCCCTTAAGCACCCAGAGAGCTTTCCGGCTGTGCCAAACACATGACAACCAGCTGGATCAAAGGATGTGCTACTGGCAGGCAGGCTTTGCACCAGCAGGTGTCTTTCAGCAGATGGCTAAGCTGGCCTGTGCAGCTAATTTGACCCATTTCTCCCCACAGAGAATTTTCCAAGGAGCGAGAGAAGGCAAAGGCCCGGGGTGACTTCCAAAAGTTACGGGAGAAGCAGCAGATGGAGGAAGACCTGAAGGGCTATTTGGATTGGATCACGCAGGCCGAAGACATAGAGCCTGACGAGGAAGGGGACGAGGCAGACGAGAAGCACACTCGTAAGGGCTCCGCCTGCCACCCGCTGCCAGCTTCCTAGCCCTGCTTTGCCAGAGAACAGTGCCCTGCTGAAGGAGGGGACAGTTTAGTCAGTGGCCTGGATGCTACCATCTGGGCCTTGTGGCAGCTCTGGGTGAGGGGATTAGAGAGGAATCAATCCAAGCAGCAGCGATGCAAGATTAGTGAGAACCTGAGCAAACTGGCAGCTGGGGAAGGGATCCTTCTTGTGGAGAGGAGGGAGGGGAGTCGGATGCCGTGTACCTACTGGGGAAGCAGGTGGATCTGGCAGTCGGGGACATGACTGGATGGCAGGAACAGAACAGAAGGGCAGGCCAGGCCGATCCCTCTGTCTCTTTATTTTTCTCCCTCTGCCTTTTGCTGAGGGAAGGGATACAGGGGTTGTGCTCTTTCCTTCAGCAATGCCCAGAATTGGCCAATTAGTAGCATGCTTTTACTTGTGCGTACCCTTCCCCATGGCTATAATTTGCAGCAAGGGAAAATGGAAGAGAGTTCCAAGGGTAAAACCCCTGGCACTGAGTTAATTAGTTCATTGGGACCTCATTAGTTACTTTGGGGTCGCTGAGCAAGTGGTAAGAGCAACTAAGGTCAGCATTGTGAGTAGACAGATATTTATGAGTCTCCTATTCATCTCATCTGTATTCCCTCCCCAGTTAGCTGAGGACAAATTTGGAGAATCTTGGTCCTTTCACCCTTCTGCCTCTCTGACTACCCTCTCAGAAATGGAGGCAACTTGAGGAGTCCCAGTGTGCTCCAACTAGGGGCTTATCCACACTTACCTTTAGCCCTGCTCTTTCCAGGCACAGGTTTCCTTGTGAAAACCTGCTCTTTAAAGCTGAAGCATGACAAAAAGCAATGCGGGTTTTCAGCAGATTGCCGTTTACTCCAATTCAGCAGTAAAGAGTGGGTTTTCACAGGGAAAGCTCTGGAGCGAGAGAGAGAGAGAGCTCAGGCACAGAGCTTTAAAGCAAGGACCTGTTGTAATTAAGGCAAAGAATCTATCAGGGCTTTTTTTAAGCCAGAACTCACAGGAACTTAGTTCCGGCACCTCTCAGGTGGGTGCCATAGCCATTATAAGAAAACAAGGAAGGCGAGTACTAGCACCATTTTTTCTAGAAAAATAGCACAGGTACGTGTAATGAAAATAATCGCAAGTGTTTCCCCTGCTTCCCACTGCCTCCACCCCCCCTCCTTTGTTGTTTCCTTATGTCTATTTTAGACACAGCTATATAAATAGATAAATGAGGGGAAAGTGCTCTAGTGAAAATTTCCTTTTTTAGAATTAAAAACGACATGTTGCCTTTTCAATTAGCACCATTTTAGTGCCCGTTTTTCTCTGCTGATCTGTTAGTTAGCACTAACACACTTTTTAGTAAACTTCTAAGAATTTGTTCAACACTACTTTAAAATAATGTTTTTGATCAGTTTTAACATTTCCACTGAAATATGATGAAAAATATGGTATTGGATTGTACCTTCATAAAGGTTCATGGCTGTGTCACACCCACTTGTTTGATGGAGCTTAGTGGGGTGTACACAGTGGGGTCGCAATGGGGTCGCGGGGGGGCGGTGCGACGCAGGGGCCCTGTCTGGGGGGGGTGTGTGACAAGAAGGCACCCTGAGGGGGCTTGTGCTGCCGCCGCTGTGCAAGCAGCCACCACGCAGCCACAGCTGCATGTGGAGGATCCTCCATTCGTGGCTGCAGCCGTGAGCAGAGGATCCTGGCGCCGTCCGTACAGTGCTGGAGCGGCACCGCTGGCAAACTGCTATGTACAGCGCATGTGCGGCGTCGCTACATACGGTGCATGCGTCGTACGTAGCAACGCCACACATGCACCCGCTTAGCCCCACCCCGGGTGTCCCTGTGCCTTCGTTCGCCCCTGGATGTACATCCCCAGAAAGCACAGTATCAGCTGAAGTGTGGAAAGCGCAAGTCTGGCCCTGTAGCTTTCAGTACCAGGAAGTGCAAATCGGGGTGGAGGAGCCCTTGCTTCTTTCTTTAATCTTGGCAACTTTGACATAAGAAAAAGGAATCTGAAGAGAGCGAGAGAAACTTGTCCACTTTTCTCCATTGTCTTTGTTATGTAACTCACATTAGTTTGTTATTCTTCATTCATTTACCCCTTTCCCTAAATTATTTCCTTTCCTATTCATCCCTCCATCCTGTCATTCATCCCTGCCTTGATTATGGAAGGCGTGACTGTGGCGGACCTGACGGAGAAGAAGAAGAAGAAATGGTTCAGATACAGCAGTCACCCCACCGACACCCACAGTAATTTCCTCATTTTCTTCCATAAGTAGCCATGTTTCATTCTCTTTAAGAGCTAAGCAGAAAAACATATATTCAAAACCTATCATGTATTTCTGTCCAATCCCCCACCTATGCTTCATCCACAGCCTGCTTTGATTTCATTCATATTTTCTTTTTATGTTACATCCATCTTCATGCTTAAGCTGGAGACAGGTTTTTGTCTTCCAAAGTTGAATGCAGTTTGAAAATGCTTAATATGGTTACACATTTCCTGATTTTTGCCTCTTGATAAGCAGTTTTTTGAATTGTTTCGAACACCTGCAAAACTTGTTTAATAAGAGGTGGCAGTATGTGTACACCATTGGAAGAGAAGGGTTTTTCAAACTATTTCTTACTTTTTAAAAAACCGTTTTTGTATTCAGCCTTTTGGGAACAACAACAACAAAAACGAATTTCTTGTGTTGGGCTGAGCTCATGTTGTGGGATGTTTTGGAGTGCAGTGAATTTTCTGTCTCAGAGACGGACTCCCTCCTCCCTCTGGTCTGCATTATGCTGCTCCCAGTGGACAGCTGTTGGCAGATGCCATTCCCGCCCCCCTATAATTCCCCTGGAATAATGTCACATGATGATATGCATCACTCACAAGGGCATTATGGGGAAAGCAAAATGGTGGCCCCAGCCATGGCAACTGGGAAATTCAGCACCACTGTCACTGCAACAGAGGTGGTAGCAATGGAAACAAAAGGCAGTTTGCTTTATTTCATTAATTCAGCCAAAATTTTAACTTTTCAAACTTTCAACCTACTCTTATGATGAATGGGACCAGTGTCACATTCACGATACTGAAGGGAAGTCACTGTTGTGGTTTTAATGCCACAACACTGACTTTAATGTGGTTTGTGCTGTTTTTGAAAATCCCACTTGCTTTTCTCTCTCCCCAGCCAGTCTCCCTGCCAGTGAAACCACCTCAGTGAATACGGAGAATGTTGGGGAGGAAGAGCATCACCAGAACAATTGCTGCGATGTGTGTTTGTGAGTTTGTGAGTTTCCTTAGTCAAAGGGAGGGAGGGCAGAATGGATTAGTACAGTAATGTTACATTTTCAGTTTCTTTGGGTTGGGGTTGACTCACAGGGGAGTTTACCGGGGGGGGGGGAAACAAAACCCACCCACAAAATTACATAATGTATTAACAAACAAAAACAGTACCCCACCCCCAATTTAAAATGCCAAGGCCTAGGAGAAGAGGAACGTTTTTGCCTGGCGCCTAAATAATGATGACACCAGGCGAGCCTCCCTGGGGAGAGCATTCCACAAATGGGGAGCCACTGCAGAAAAGGTCTGCTCTCATGTTGCCACCCTCTGGATTTTCTGTGGAGGCACACAAAGAAAGGCCTCTGGAGATGGTTGCAGGGTCTGGGTCACTTCATATGGGGAGAGATGGTCCTTGAGGTATTGTGGTCCTGAGCTCTTTAAAGGCTTTGTGGGTAAAAAGCAGCACTTTGAATTGACCCCAGAAACTCTCAGCCCGTGCAGTCAGGCCTGGATTGGCATTATATGCTCAAATCGTCTTGCCCCAATGAGCAACCTCTGGGGCAACCTCTGGGGCACCAGCAGAAGTTTCTGAACCATCCTCAGAGGCAGTCCCACATATAATGTATTGCAGTAATCTAACCCAGAGGTTACCAGAGTGTAGACAACAGAAGTTAGAGGCACAGCTGGGCCACCACCAGCTGAAGCTTATGGAAGGCACTCCTGTTGCTGCTGCCCTCTTCTTCCAGGTCTAGTCTGGGCTCAGTCACCTGGGCAGGTGGTCTTGCATGATGTAAAGTGGGTGGGCTGACAAGCAAGAAGGCAGGTGGGCACTGCTACTGAGATGCTCTGACAGTTCTCCTCTCTGCCAATGTGTGCTGCTGCACCACTCTGGCTCTTCCTCTGTTTCCATGCTGAATGAAGGAGGCTGAGTACCACAGTGACATCACATACTCGTGTAAAATAGAAGAGATGGAGGAGTGGTAGAGGTAGGCAGCTGAGCACCTGCAGCAGCAGTGGCAGCTAGGCAGCTGAGCGGATTAGCTCAGTGTCCTGAAAACAAGACTATGGGCAGATGCAGAGAGGCTGCAACTTTACCATCCAGATAGCTTTGATTCTAGGTTTAAAATAAGCCTAGAAAGTGCTTCATAGTTTGAACCTAACCTACATCGCTAACCACTTCCTCCTGTTTACCACAGTGTGTTCTCTCCTTTCAGGCAAGAGTGCTTTGTAATGGTGCCCAAATCAGCACTGAAGGGCGAGTGTGTCTTGCCAAGAATGTAGCAGTGGCTGGAACCACTCTAAGGCATTTTTAGGCCCTTAAGTTAAACATGACGCAGTTCCTTTACCCCTGTGACTTAATATGGCACAATTTATCAGTGCTCTTCAGCAGCTTATATTCATTTTAGTAGGATTTGCACATGAGAAAGTCCAAGTGGATTGGGTCCCATATGTTGCTACTTGCTGGGAGGAATTCAGAATAATGCTAAGCAGATTACTCTGTCAGTGCAAGCATTCCTGCTTGCCTGGTGGAATAATCTGCCCTCTCGTCCCCCTGTACACTGTTCTGGGGGTTATCCTGATCTCTGCTGGAGCCAATTTGGCAGGGAGGAGGGAGGAATGGGGGGAGGCGAGGGGAAGAAAAGCAGAAGCCCTTGCAGTGGCTTCCGTTGGCAGGTCTAGTTACCACCCGCTGTCCCACTCTTTCTCCCTTAAAGGTAAAGGTAAAGGTACCCCTGCCCGTACGGGCCAGTCTTGCCAGACTCTAGGGTTGTGCGCTCATCTCACTCTATAGGCCGGGAGCCAGTGCTGTCCGCAGACACTTCCGGGTCACGTGGCCAGCGTGACATCGCTGCTCTGGCAAGCCAGCACAGCACACGGAACACCGTTTACCTTCCCGCTAGTAAGCGGTCCCTATTTATCTACTTGCACCTGAAGGTGCTTTCGAACTGCTAGGTTGGCAGGCGCTGGGACCGAACGACAGGAGCGCACCCCGCCGCAGGGATTCGAACCGCCGACCTTTCGATCGGCAAGTCCTAGGTGCTGAGGCTTTAACCCACTGCGCCACCTGCGTCCCTTTCTTTCTCCCTTAATAGCACTCAAAATATGCTTTCTCGGGCAACAGCCTCATCTTGCCTCATAGTAGGGGCACCCCTGGCAGCTGAACATGAGAACATAATTGCTAGGGTAGGGCAGAATAGAGATGGGCAGAGGGGGAGACACATTGTTGGGTTGTCCCAACTCTTGATTGTTGCTTTAACCTCTGTGCACCGTGGCTTAACCCAGTGGTTACAAGAAGGTCAGATTCCAGCCCAGATCATAAAACTGAGCAACTGCAGTAAAGCTGAGATAACTTTAGAAGGTGATTCTACGGTCCTATATTTACTTTCTGATAGTAGAAACAGAAAGAGATAGGCTATTTTTTAGTGTTCTTGCCTGCAATCTTTTCTTGGCATGAAGATGCCCTGATGGGAGACATTTTGCATCTGCTTCATTTCTGCCTGTCAGGTTGCAGTTAGAGGTGTAGCATAAAGGCTAGCAAAATAAATCAATAAATAAAATGTCGGGGGGGGGGCCACCTGGCAACCCTAATTTGGGTTTGGGATATCTGTGAAATGTGAAATGCTGGCAGTGTCTGTGAGCCTCCTCTAAGAACTGCTGCCCCTGTATCCTTGATCAATTTGTAATTTCTCAGCTTTCAACTGCAGCTGAGAGAGAGTTGTGTTTAATTCTCTTGTTGAATTTCTCCTGTCTTCCACAGAGGCAAGCTCTCCAAGACCAAATTTGGGTGAGTAGGATGAAAGCTGCCTTCCCCTCTGCCCAGGGCTCTCCTGCTCTCTGGCTCTCATCAGTGATATCTGTCCCCCCCCATCCCCCTCTGCTGCAGCCGCCGAGTGCGACGCATCAATCGTCTCTTCCGGAAGAAATGTCGCCTGGCTGTCAAATCTGTCTCTTTCTACTGGATGGTTCTGCTCCTTGTCTTTCTCAACACTCTCACAATTGCCTCTGAGCATTACAATCAGCCCGACTGGCTCACGCAAATCCAAGGTAGGGTTGCAAGACACAGGGAATGTGTACTAGCGCCAGCAAGGGAGTATTGTCCAGGAGTTAGCGCAGAGCAGGGAGAGCCTCTAAGGGGGATTGACTGTTAAACCACTCTGGAAATTGTAGCTCTGTGAGGGAACAGGGGTCACCTAACAACTCCCCACACTCTTAACAAACTACAGTTCCCAGGATTCTTTGGAGCACCATCACTGTTTAACACGGATAATGTATGGTATGGATGTGGCCTACGAGGGTAGCTTAGTGATTGTGGTCAGGACTGAGAAGCAGCAACATGGTTTTGAATTAATTTTTAATATACAATTGGCTGAGGTGGGGGGGGGTTGTTGCCTCCCTTCCCCAACTATTGATTTTTTGGGGGAAACAACATTCGGTTGTTCCACTTCTCTTAAACAAAACCACACACTGGTTTAGAAATTCTTGACTGCCATCTACTGTTCCTGTTCTGTAGCAGGAGTGGCTGAACCATGATCCTCAAGGTGTTGCTGGACTTTTAACTTCCACCATCCATGACCTGACACTGGGCAGCATGTGCTGGCTGGGGGGGGGGGAGGGAACCCACTGATGCCTCAAGGGGCACCGTTTCTCCATCCCTATTGTAAGGCAATTTTATCTGGCTCTTTCCTGCCCTAACAAACTTTACCAAGACATAGCGAAAACTTTGCCCACAGTTCTATTTGCAAGTAAAAGAAAAACATGTCCAAGCCATAAGAAACACAGATATTCAGATATTTTACATTCCTCTCTTTAGATTTATGTGTGCCGAGTATGTAATATGTAACTGCATATGTTTGTATGCAATGCATTGCCTGCCCTGAGCACATGTGCTTCATAACTGGAAATCCTAACTGACACCAGCTTTGATATGGAGCATGACCACTTACACATCTGTGTGGATTTTCTACCTCTGGATGGACTGATGTCTGGAGAACAAATGAGATGGTCCCTGAGAATATTGAAATTGCCCATACTTGAGCTGATTTGCATGAATTGTTTGGAAATGCATGATATAAATCCTACAGCTGCTTGGTCAGTCTAGTTTGCGGGTTAGCGGTTGACCATCCCTGTTTCGAACTTGTAGGCTTGCTGAAAAATACTTGGGCAGCTGATCTCATCCCCACCCATTCCAAAGTGCCTTGTATATGTGAGTTACTCTGTAGAGAAGGATCAACAGGGAAGTGCAGAAGATGGTCAAATGGAGAGCTGAGGAGTCTCCATTTACTCCTCTCTGCTCTGCCATTTTCATCCAGCTCAAAATATTTTGAGTCTTCATCATATTATTCCCATTTTGCAGATGGAAACTGTGAAGAAGCATCTGTCCTCCAGTCTGTCTGACACCCAGTGTACTGTGTGGTACTTAATTAACATTGAGGACTAGGAGCATAACGCTGTCCCATATACCTGTTGTTGACCCTCTACTCTTTCTTGCCACAGCTTATGCTAACAAAGTACTGTTATCGCTGTTCACCATGGAGATGCTGTTGAAGATGTACAGCCTGGGACTACAGGCCTATTTTGTCAGCTTCTTCAACCGCTTTGATTGTTTTGTGGTATGTGGTGGAATCCTGGAGACTGTCTTGGTAGAGTTTGAGATCATGCAACCTCTTGGAATCTCTGTGCTTCGCTGTGTCCGCCTCTTACGGATCTTCAAAGTCACCAGGTCAGGTGGTGGTCGTGGTCATGGGTGATTGGGTGGCATTGCTTAGGGCTGGGGCATGCAATCGGGGTTAGCTTAATTCAAGGTGGTTGCCTGCTAGAAAATTCAGGTTGATTTGCTTATGGCTTGAAGATATATTACTATAGAACCCTAGGCAGGTGGTCAGTATGTACTTATTGCACTTATATTAGCCTCTTCCCTCAGAAGCTAAGATCAATTTACATCTGCTTCCTCTACATCAGGGGAGGGGAGCCTGTTGCCCTGCAGATGTTCTTGGAGTACAGCTCTCATTGTCCCTTGACTATTGGCCATACTAGCAGGGCCTGGTGAGAGTTGGAGGCCAGTGAGCCAGTTTCCCCATCTCTATTCTAGTAGTGCTGGTTCTTACCTGTGAGCTGAAGTGCCCCAAGTCCCTCGACCCATTTATCCATCCCTGGTTTGCTTTCCAGGCACTGGGCCTCGCTGAGCAACCTCGTGGCCTCCTTGCTGAACTCCATGAAGTCCATCGCGTCCTTGCTGCTCTTGCTTTTCCTCTTCATTATCATCTTCTCATTGCTGGGCATGCAGCTTTTTGGGGGCAAGTTCAACTTTGATGAGACCCAGACCAAGCGCAGTACTTTTGACACTTTCCCCCAGGCCTTGCTCACAGTCTTCCAGGTAAAAGCAGGCATGGGGTACAAGTGGGGTGGCTGGGACCAGCCTTCGACAGGTTTTGGTTCTTGCTGGGGACTGGGCTATGTAAGGGACAAATGGTTGAAGCCCCTTATTTCCCACTTGGATCCCAATCCTGTCAACTTCCCCACCCCACTATTATTATTATTATTATTATTATTATTATTATTATTATTATTTAAAAAAAAACGTTCAAGAGGGAGGGAATGGCAACAGCTGTCAATGCAGCTTCCCATGGCTCGTGGGTGATCTTAGGAGCCACTCAGTTGTGTCCTTGAAACAGACTTCAAGAACAGTACAAGGAAGCAGTGTGATCCCTTCAATAATTGAAGGGTTGTTGACCCTGGTGCACAGAAGAAAAAAGAGCTTTAAGTTCCATAGAATCACATGTTACAGTTTTAATGGGTATCCATTACAGAAAGAGAGGCTCACATCGGCTCTGTGGCCAATTCCATATAAGGAAGGAACAGGTGGGCAGGCTCCCTGCGCCAACCTGAGCTTTTAACCCTGTTAACCTCTGCACCTCAGTTCTCTTTTTTCTTGGTTGGGACTCCAAAATGGGAAATATATCCCACCAGAAGTAAAACAGTTGGGGTGTAGTGGTTTCACAGCAAAAATAAAGAGATCCTTTCAATCTCCATTGAGCTTTCAATTCTTGCCCTCAGATCTGTACACCATAATCACTTCTAATTTAGCTGACCCTAAAATTCTAAAAATACAGGCCTTGGTTTACCCCACCTCATCACCACAATTATAATAATATTAATTATACATTCTGTGGGAGAAGCAACACAAAACTGTGACTGGTCCTAGCTTTCTGGGGGTTTTAAGTGTTGATAGGGAAAGAAAGACATGTATGGTGTCATGAATTTAGACTTTGTGTTCTCAGTTTATAATCACAGTCTTTTGGAAGCCCTAGGCTGCCAATTTACCACCTGTAGCTGATAAAAGCACTTTAACAAAGTGCATACCTAAAACTGTGTCAGGTTCAGTTTTGGTTTCGTATACAGTAACCAGGTACAAGAGAATATTTGATTTCATCTTCTATTTTATTACCAAACAAATACTTCTAATAACACATGGATATCAAAATATAAAGCATACCCACTAGGATAAGCAACAATAGTTCTGAAACATTTCTTACCGTATTACAGAGGCTAGGTATTGAGGTTTCAGTAGTTGAAAATAGGATACCATATTCTAAGATCCAAGTTCTTATCAGCTCCTTTAGAGTAAGGTGCCGTTGGGGCTATAAGCAAGAGAGATTCAGATGGTAGGAAGCTGATATATACAAAGATCGGCTCATGTTTATACTGTTTCTGAATATTTTATTATGTTATATTTTAAGCTCACAATCTGAACTATCTCATAGTCCCTAAATATTTCCAAGAAGTTAACATAAGCGATTACTGGTTTGTTCACAGTCATCCTAATTTGCTTGCACAAAATTTACTTGGTGGTTAGACAAAGGGTTCTTCCACACTTCTGTTTATCCCATGCCTAGAAAGCGTGAGTCCAACCGAGTAGTTTTCTCCTTGCCCTGCTTCCTTTCCTAGGGAAAACTCACTCTTTAACTCGGAGCAAATGTCAGTCTGGGGAAAACTTAAATTGCTGTTTGCTCCAACTGAGCACTAAGAGTGGGTTTCCCCCAGGGGAAAGTATGAGCAAGTCTTGGGTCTGGTCTTTATTAAGCACATATTCTGATTTGTTAACGGGATGATTATATGACAATGAGTTTTTATCTTGCATTCATCTGGAGTGTCACAAGTTTCCCCATCCCCAGAATACCACAAGGAACACTGCTGTAGAGTTGAGTGTTGTGCTAATTACATTATTTATTACCTCTAATTGATTTTATTATTGATTTGTTTTAATTGCATTGTAATAAATGTATTGGCGGGCAGCATATAAGTACTTTAAATAAGTAGTTAAAAAACAACAACATTTAATTGTGGAACAATCTTAATTATATTTGTTGTTCCCTTTGCTCATGCCACAGATCCTGACAGGGGAGGACTGGAATGCGGTGATGTATGATGGGATCATGGCCTATGGTGGCCCCTATTTCCCAGGTATGCTGGTCTGTGTCTATTTCATCATCCTCTTCATTTGCGGCAACTGTATCCTTTGATTGTTCAGGTGGCGGTGAAGATTAATGGACCTTAAGTCCAAGAGGATTGATGCTAGGCTGCTAGATTGCTGATGAGAAATTGCTGAGTCGGGCCCCCAAATTTAATTCAGGTCCTCACCTTTCCAGACCCTGAAGTTAGAAATCAAGCTGACCTTCCCATGGTTACATTAGGATGGAATAGTGGTTGCTACTGCAGTGGTTAAATAGGGATCGGGTACAGGGCAGGTAGCAGCAGTCAGGGCATTTGCATCTGTGAATGCTGGGATACATGCTTTGATTGGGCAGCATATATTCTTTTTACATGCTTATGAAACTGCAGATGAGGAGCATCATCTAGAAAGAGACATTCTCGCTTCCCTCACGCACAGGATGAAATGCCTCTCCTAAGAGGATGCTGACTAGGATGCACTAGTGCATAATCTAACAGCAAATAATAGTATACAACTTCTTTCAGAACTATTGCTTTTACAGTTTATATAGATTTGATTGCTAGAATGAACAAATAAAACTCGTATGATTAATCTGTTCACATGTCTTTAACGGGGGCACAGCCTTCATCCTGAGGGTGTGTTGTCTCAGAGTGGTTATTACCCCATTGCATCAGGTTACATTTTTCTGAACTTTCAACCCCAGATATTCTGCTCAATGTCTTCTTGGCCATTGCTGTGGACAATCTGGCAGATGGCGACAACATCAATACCTCCAAGGAGGGGGAACACAAGGAAAAGTGAGAACTGTAATCTCGGGGGGGGGGGGTGGCAGGTTGGAGAAGAGAGTGAAGTGACCAAATGTTGCTCAGTTTCTAGCTTTGTTTTTATTTGTATTGTTTTTAAATTGCTCATTGTAAGGCTTCCTTCTGATGATTTTGTTCTGAAAGAAAGGGCACATTTAAAGAAGCCCGTCTCCCCCTTGGGTCCTCCTCCCCCTGACTTAGATTGCACATCCAAGGCAGAGCCTAGATATTCCTTTCTATAACTCTCCTCTTTCCCCCTCTTCCCTGCCACAATTCAGAGAGGCACCAGCAGAGGGGGAGCAGAGCAATGAGAAAGAAGAAGAGAAAAATGTGAAGGTGAGAACTGAAACCCTGACCTTCATTTCTGACCTTGTTGCTTCTAGAGATGCAAGTAGTCCTCCCACAGATCAGTAGGCAGCAATTTCACATGAGTAATAGATGTATAACTTTCTGTCTAAGGCAGCTTTTGCCAACCCGATGTCCTCCTGAGGTTTTGGTCTACAACTTCCATCAGCCTTAGCCAGCTGATTTCTATGTGTCTTTATGGCCTAGTTCACTAACAGAATGGTCCGAATTCTGCCCAGGGAGCAGCAGATCAACCACTGCACTTGAAACCCGGCTGGCGGCTGCTGGCCAGTGGCATGGCCAAAGCTAAAAGAGAAAGCACCCAGCACCTCCTCCCCTGTCCAGGACAAGCCAGAATGGATTCTGCATGGGGCTGGCCAGGGCAGAAGGGGTTTCGGTTCAGATTTTGCTGTGCCACTGGTAGCCTGCTAAGACCCATTTGGAGCATTTCCACAATCTGCCACTGGTGGAAGCTTCCTACCCTACTGAGTACCAAAAGTCGCCACCTGCAGAAGGTCATTGGCACTTCAACCTAACCCTGTCTAGCAGCATGGACCAGATGTAAGGATTGCACTGTAAAGAAACACAGCCTGTTTCTGGGCTGTGCCACTTCAGACTTCAGGCAAAGACTTGCAAGACTGAGCACCCCTTCATGCAACCCCCCCACCACACACACAGCTATTATGACCCCCTATCCTCCACCCAGAGGGACGCGGGTTCAAATCCGCGTGACGGGGTGAGCTCCTGTTGCTCAGTCCCTGCTCCTGCCAACCTAGCAGTTCAAAAGCACATCAAAGTGCAAGTAGATAAATAGGTACTGCTCCGGTGGGAAGGTAAATGGTGTTTCCGTGCGCTGCTCTGGTTCACCAGAAGCAGCTTAGTTATGTTGGCCACATGACCTGGAAGCTGTACGCTGGCTCCCTCGGCCAATAAAGCGGGATGAGCGCCGCAACCCCAGAGTCGGGGGTTGGGGTCCCTTTACCTTTACCTTTATTCTCCACCCAAATACAGGCTTCATCCAGGTACATAGTGCAGTAGTGGTGGATTTATACTGAACCACATCCTTCCGCTTTATGGTAGGGAAAATTACAGGATTTCAGCAGGAAGCTACTGAAGCTGGCTAGAAATGAAGCAGTGCGTCTGCCCCAAAGCTTCTCCAGGCACAGAGAGGATTAAAAGTAGGATTGAGTACAACTGCTCAGAAACCATCATGAACACAGATTGTCATGGATCCCCAATAAAAAGGAGATCTGGAAGTGCCCCTGGCAGGAAAAAATGCATCCTGAATTGAGCTGCATGTTGCATGCACGAACATGTACAAGGCAGAAGTGCTTGTCATGCCCTTCTCTGCACAGGCCCTCGTGCAAGCACAACAGTCACTTGTGCAATGGGTGACAGCCTGGAAACTTTTGAGAAGGATCTCTCTCTTGCATTCAGATCTCACCCCCCACCCCCATTACACACCCACCCACCCACACGTCTAAGGCAGCCTCGCGCTTGAACCCTCCTGAGGAAGTGCCCACCCCCCACCTCTAGGGTGGGGACAGTCTGCCCAAGTCCAGGGAGGTGAAGTTCCCTGCCTTAGCCCTGAAGGTCACAAAGGCTGAATTGGACACTCCTCTCTCCTCACTCTATCTGTAGCCATAGCCAGCAAATACTACAGAAACTGTTGTATTAAGTCCAGTCTCTCCTGCTCTGCCCTCCATCCCACTCAAACGTGCATTGGTGATGCCCAGTCTGCTTTCTCCTCAGGTGGAATGTGGGGAGGAAGAGGAGGAGGAAGTAGAGGAAGGCAGTGAAGAAGCAGGTGAGGAAAGAAACGTTGTGTATGGTACTATGACAATCACGAGGATTGTTACCTTACTGAGACAAAAAGGCTATTTATGTTTTCACACATGAGACCAAAGCAGCTCTTTACTGCAGCCTCGTTTGTAATTGAATGTAAAACTTACAATTGACCAGGCTGCTTATTCTGCCTCTCCTCCTCCCAGCTTTTCTCTTCCACGTAAACAACTATCAGGCATCAACATAAATTGCCTTTGAGCTCCTCTGGGATATTTAAGCCTTAAGTATGAAAGGCAGCTACTCTATTGCAGTGAACCAGGAAGAGGATCAATGGCAAGATGAGTTCAGACTCTAAGCTGGAGAACTGGCTCTAAACTAACACAATGGATTTCAATAGGGACAAAGGTAAGGTCCTTCACTCAGGCAGGAAGAACCAGCTGCAAAAATATAAGATAAGGAACACCGGGCTTGCCAGCAGGTCATGTGAAAAAGATCTAGGGGTCTTAGAGGACCACAAGCTGAACATGAGTCAAGAGTGTGATGCAACAGCAAAAAAGCTAATGCTATTCTAGGTTGCATTATCAGAAGTATAATGTTCAAGGGACTTAATAGTACCGCTCTATTCTGCCCTGGTCAGAGCACACCTAGAGCCCTGTGCCTAGTTCTGGGCGTCACAATTTAAGAAGAATATTGACAAGCTGGAATGTGTGCAGAGGAGGGCAACCAAGATGATCAAGGGTCTGGAAACCAAGCCTGATGAGGAATGGTTGAGGGAGTTGGAGATATTTAGCCTGGACAAGAGGAGACTGAGATGAGATATGATAGCCATCTTCAAATATCAAAAAGGCTGTTGAATGGAGGATGGAGCAAGCTTGTTTTCACCTGCTCCAGAGGGAACCAAAGGCTTGATGTTACAAGAAAGGAGATTTTGACTCAACATCAGGAATAACTTTCTGGTGTAAGAGCCTTTTGACAGTGGAACGGGATCCCTTGGAAGGTAGTGGATTCTCCTTCCCTGGTGATTTAAAAGCAGAAGTTGGATGGCCATCTGTCTGGGATGCTTTAGTTGAGATTCCTGCATTGCAGGGGGTTGGACTAGATAACCTTCAGAGTCCTTTCCAACTCTGAAATTCTGTGGTTCTATGCAGCCTCTTTCTCTCCTGCTGCAGCTCACTTTTTCCATTAGCCTTTGCATAGCCTATTGGTCCTCCTCCCGCTACAGAAATGAAGACCTAAGTAGGTGTTTCTCTGCCAAACACATATTAATTCCTGTCTATCCTCCCCTCAATTTTCCTCCCTTCCTGTATCAACTGTTAAATTGTAAGTTTCTTGGGGCAATTGCACCTCTTCTTTGTTGTTACTCTGTAATGCTTGACTTCCGGAAACTGAAAGTGGAAGCCTCAATACAATAGGGAAATTCAAAACAGAAGCCACGTAGCACGTTCAGCTTCCAAAAATCATTCAAAAGCTGGAGCTGTTACTTCCGGGTTTTCGGCGTTCAGGAGCCAAAATGTTCCAAAATGGAGGCATTCGGGAACCAAGGTTTGACTGTACTATATAATTATCAGATTGGTTCATAATAAATAGACATTATTCCCCCCCCCTCTCTCTCTCTCATTCATACACACACACAAACACACACACACACACACACACACACACTGCTGTAATGAATATGGCTCCTGAGGAATCCTTAAAACCAAATGTGGAGAACCTTTGACCTTCTAGATGTTGCTGAACTACAATTCCCATCGCCCCAGGCCATTGACCATGCTTGTCGAGGCTCATGGGAGTTGTAGTTCAGCTTCAGATGAGGGCCAAAGGTTCCCCAGTCCTTGCTTAATCCTACACCATGCCTTGTTTTCAGGTGAGGAGGAAGAGGAAGAAGAGGCAGAAGGAGATCAGCAGAGCTTGGCAGAGTCTCACCTAGACAAACTGGAGGAAACCCCCGCAGAGAAGGTGTTACCAATTCCTGATGGAAGTTCCTTCTTCTGCCTTAGCAAGACAAATCCGTGAGTACAGAAAGGCATGAACCAAGGAGGAAGAAGGTGGGGCTGGCTTTCTCTTTCAGTGGAATGTGACCTCAGTTTGGTCATAATTCTGCAAGAGTTGTAGGGTAAGGTCCAGGAATTTCCTCTTCTGGTGCCAGGGCTGTGCAGGTGTCAGACCTGCAAGCAGTCACTTGGAAAGACAAAGGTGCAGCCTACTTTAGGTCAAGACCCAGAACATCAAACAAAGGTCACCTACAGGTCCATAGTTACGGCAGGCCAACATGAAGGGACAGAACAGTGAACAGCCATCAGAAGGACTTGATGCAATGTAGTCTGCATGACTGTTCTAGCAGTAGCTTTTTCACACTGAAAAACCATGTTTGAAGCACCAGTTCTGTAAGGCCAGCCTGGCTCCTGTTGCCCCCACAGATTGCCTGGCCTGACTGGCCTGGTGAGCTGCAGTACTCCTCTTTGGACATTATCGGGGTGGCACTGCAGCATGCCAAATCCTCAATCTGCAAACAACCCTGGTGGTGCAAGGTGGCAGGGTCCCTGTGGCCAGAGTCCCTGGTGTGAGTGCCCTAATAACCTACAGTGTGGTGTAGTGGGTAAGAGCGGTAGTCTCGTAATCTGGGGAACCGAGTTCGCGTCTCCGCTCCTCCACATGCAGCTGCTGGGTGACCTTGGGCCAGTCACACTTCTCTGAAGTCTCTCAGCCCCACTCACCTCACAGAGTGTTTGTTGTGGGGGAGGAAGGGAAAGGAGAATGTTAGCCGCTTTGAGACTCCTGAAGGGGAGTGATAAAGCGGGATATCAAATCCAAACTCTTCTTCTTCTTCTTCTACATGTAGAAGGATATCTATGCTACCAATTTATATATCCATTTAACTGTTGTGTCTTCCACCCCAAAGAATCCTCGAAACTAGGTTTGGCAAGGGATTTCTAGTGCTGTCTGGGTTCCTGGGGCAGAGGGCATGACTAACCAGTGTAAGAATATGGTAAAAAATTGCCAGAGATCCTGGTTTCATTGTGGTCCCACTTTGGGGACCCATTGGTTGAGAGCAGTAGGGGGCAACGGGAGGCACTGTCTGGCTATGCTTGGGCAGACCCAGAACTGCCAGGGTTCACGCTGGTGGTGGAGTTTTAGCCTTCTTCCCAGGTATCTCAACCCAAGGTCAAGGGAGGAGGCAAATCCCAAGGTCAGTCTTTGCTTGGCTTCAGAGATTTTGCTGTTGGCTTTTCTCCCCATGTCAGTCCAGCCCACTTCCAAGGCACCACCCAGGCTCTTCCCTCTAATCTTGCCCACATCTGCCAGGATCGCCTTTTAGCTCCCTATCTCCACCTCCTGATTCACAGGGGAGTCTGCATGTGCCTCCGGAAACTTGGCTGCTCCTATTGTGTGTTGCTGGCTCACTATGGTGGCTGCCTTTCTTTCTCTCGGCAGGCTTCGTGTTGGGTGCCACAAATTGATCCATCACCACATTTTCACCAATCTCATCCTTGTCTTCATCATCCTCAGCAGCATCTCCCTGGCAGCAGAGGACCCTATCCGAGCACACTCTTTCCGCAACAATGTAAGCTATGCCATATGGAAAGGTGGTTGGGTAGAATGGAAGAGAGAGGGCAGAGGCAGAAGAGTGTCTCACCCTCCGCTCCGTCCTTTCTCTCTCTCACTCCGCTCTTATTTCCTCATTTTTCCATTCTCTTTCTCCCCCACCTCTCTCCTGTTCCCCCCTCTCATTACACAGATTCTGGGATACTTTGATTATGCCTTCACTTCTATCTTCACTGTTGAGATCCTACTCAAGGTACTAGAAGATGAGGAAGGGGAGAGTAGCCAGCCCTCAGCGGATGCCCCATTGGCCAAGTCTCTAGGGTTGCCCACACCTGCACGTGGGCCACGTCTGCAGGGTGGCACCGAACAACCAGACCTTAGCTGCTTCTGCTAGTGCCCTCATAGCCCCATGGCTGGCAATCAGGGTTGGGGTTGGGGTGGAGAAGGGGGTCAGCAACTGCAGAATGATCTCCAAGTCATTGGGGAGTAGGGGGTGGGAGAGAAGATGTGGCCCCCAGCAACAAGGAGGGAAGGGTCAGGGCTGCACTTCTCAGCTCCTGTCTAGAGGCCTTTGACTCTTACTACCCACCATGAATTTAGCTCCAACACAGCTATGGACTGTGCAGAACAGTGGTGGGCATAAGGAGACCAAGATCTTTGGTAGACTACAGACCGCCTCATGCCTGGTGCTGCGATTCTGCAAAAGGCTTGGACATTGTAAGCATGAGTCACGTAACTCAGGTTCACGTGACTCAGCTGAGTTATGCCTTAGCTGTTAAAGAGATCCTGAAGATGCAGCTCGGTGGAAGAGCATCTTCCCTTCACACAGAGCATCCCAGGTTCAGTGCTCAGCATCTCCAGGTAAGCCTGGGAATGCCTCCTTCCTGAAACCCTGAAACTGCTGCCAGTCAGTGCAGACACAGTGCTGAGCTCGAGGGACCCAAGGGGCCATCTTCTGGGGCCAGCTTCTTCTCTGGCTGCCAGGGAAAGAGGCCCTGGGTCCTCCCAACGTGTGTGTGGCGCTTGGGGTGCTCAGCGCTCATTGTAGGCTGCACAGTGTTGGCAGAGCCAGGGCCTCTTTTCCTGGCAGGCGCAGCAGCAGCAGAAGTAGAAGCAGAAGGAGAAGCTGGCACTCAGGATGCTTGGTGCTTGGTGCATGTGTGTGACATCACACCCAGGTGTGACATCAGCCCCCTCCCCAATCTGCCTCTTAAGTTAGCACATCTGATCTTGAATATAAAAGGACTGAGTCTGGGTGCGGGGAAGGCAGGGTCATTTGGTTGGCACAGGGCGCCTGGGGACCTAATCTCCAAGCTTCTGGGTTCCAGCCACAGTTCTGAGAAAGAGGAGTTGGGTGGAGCCGGGGTGCTTAGCATGTCTCTGTCCTTAGATGACCGCTTACGGCGCCTTCCTGCACAAAGGCTCCTTCTGCCGGAACTGGTTCAATCTCCTTGATCTGCTGGTTGTCAGTGTCTCACTCATCTCCTTTGGCATCCAGTAAGTCTGATTGGGGAATGGTCAAGATACTTTGGGAGTAGGCCCCCAAAAGAAGAAGAAGAAAAGGATTGTGCTGGCCTGGTCCGGGATGAAAGGGCAATGTTGCGTAGTGATGCGCCACCAACTGGGATGGCCGTCTTCCGCTTCCAGCCTCTGAAATGCCACTTGCTGGGATTCACAAGCAGGGAGAGGGCTCTTGTGCTCAGGTCCTGCTTCCAGGCTTCTTGGAGGCATCTGGTTAGGCACTGTGAGAACAGGATGGTGGACTACGTTGGGCTCTTGGCCTGATCCAGCAGGGCTCTTCTTACTAAGTTCTTAGGAGCTATTTTATAGGAAATGAAAAGAAGGTGTAAGCAGTTTGGTTTTTCAACCCCAAACTCTCCCACACCTCCCTTCCTCTTTCCACCTCAGCTCCAGTGCCATCTCTGTGGTGAAGATCTTGCGAGTGCTGAGGGTGCTGCGCCCTCTCCGAGCCATCAACCGGGCCAAGGGGCTGAAGGTGAGGGACGTCTTCAAGGGCAGGTGGTGGCTCTACAATGTGGATCTGGAAGGAGGTCCCACAGCATGGGGGCTATGAAGATGTGGTGCCTGTGTTCCCCATCCCACTCAGGGTTGGCCCATCCATGAGGCAGGGTGAGGCAACTGCCTCAAGGTGGCAGGATCCACAGGGGCAGTGGATCCCAAGGTAGACCTTTATTCCCCCTTCTTCCCGATGTCAATCTTCACTCCCCGCTTCTTCCCTGGTGGGGAGCAGGACACCATTTTGTGGTTCACCACAGGTGCCAAAATGTCTTGCACCAGCCCTGACACCCACAGGGTCGCCCTGTTGAGAACTGGCAAGTTCCCTCCTGGCCACCTCACATCCCTTGTACCTCCCTGTCTGACAGCACGTGGTTCAGTGTGTGTTTGTGGCCATCCGCACCATTGGGAACATCATGATAGTCACCACCCTGCTGCAGTTCATGTTTGCTTGCATCGGTGTTCAGCTCTTCAAGGTAAGGAGTGCTAATTTATTTGGGGTGGTTTGGATTAAATGAGTGTGTGCAAGATGTGTATATGTGCTTGGATCAAGGACATGTTGAGTGTGGGCGTGTTTCTTTGGGGCTTGCACCCAAAACACTTCCAAATACCATCACCTTAGCAACCAATCCTGTACCTCATTATAGACACTAGTCAGGCGGCTTATTTGTTTCAGCTGTAGGTCATCACAAGGGGGGGAAATCAGCTCAAAGAGAAAGAAAGAAAATACATGTGCAAAGGCACAGACATAGAAGTTACATGGGTAAACATAGTAATAATAATCATATAATGATATATGGTAAATAATCTGCATTGCAAAGTATTGCTCTTGTTTTTCAGCTAGTTGATTGGTAGCTTACCTGAGCACACACTGCCATATTTGATGAAGGTGGACAGTGAGCAAGAGAGGGAAAGAGAGACCGAGAGAAAGACAGAGAAGTATGGAGATCTTGTAAAGGAAAAGCAATGTGAAAAGAGCTTAGGCAGGCCCTTCCCCACCTCCCACCTCCACTGGGCCAGCACGATCCCAATGACTTGGGGTGGGGAAGTACATGATATGATGAGGTTGAGGCAATTTTACAGGGAGATGGATGATAACCTGACACTGACGTGGCTGAGCATAACATCTTGCTCTACCCTAAGATGAAAAGTCGATAGAAGTGGGTGTCTCATTACAGGGCAGGGTAAAGGTAAGCCCTGACTGCCCCACCCTGTGTGAGGCTAGTTTACTGTTTCCTCCATGCCCAGGGCCATGGGGGGGGCAGCACACAGGGTAGAAAGATAAGAATTTCCCCAGGATGGATACCTTCCTTCCCCATCAGTGCCCAATCTCCAATCTCCTGCCACTTCTGTCTCCAGGGCAAGTTCTACAGCTGCACAGATGAGGCCAAGCACACTCCGTATGAATGCAAGTAAGTCTCAGCTCTGCCCTGCAAGAAGAGCAGAGCGTCCAGTTACCTTCCCCAACCAAGTTATCCAGGTGGCATTGGCATTTTAGCCTAATACCAAGAACACCAACCAAGATGTCTAACCACCCCACAGATCAAACCAGGGCCTGTTGTTAACATTGCTGCCTGCAGTTCTCTGGCCCTGCTTTCTTCTTGTCTCCCCCCCCCCCACTCCTGGACAGATCTCCACTGCCATACATTAGTATGACAAAATGTTGCCGCAATGTAATGGATTCCCATGTATGGCTGATCTGAGATGAAAGCTAGATGGTCTAGTATCGTGTAATGGCCTGTGAATTAAGGGTTGTTTGTGGGTGTCTGTGAGGCCCAAACAAGACATCACATGGGAGATACAGTAATAACCTCCTACCTTTCTTCCTTCCCTTCTCCTGTTTCTTTTGCTGAAAACTAACCTCTGAGTCTGTGATTGTGACCCAAAGAGTAACAGGGAGAAGGTGCTCCTTGACCCTTTCCTGTTGTCTTTCTGCTTCCCCTCCCCAAGCTGCTTGGGGGGGAGGGAGAGATAATTTTGAAAAAATAAATGGCAAAAAGGGAAAAGGTTAAGCAATCCCTGCTATTCTTCCACTCAGACCAGCTGCCTCCATGTATCTGCTTTTCAGTTTAAAAATAAAGAGAGGAAGAAAAGAGAAAGGTGGGAGACTATTAGCATCTAGTTTGGCCCCAAGATAGCAGAGAGGGTTCTGAGAGGCAGAAAGGAGGGTGGCTGGGTAGCTTTGCAGTAAAAGGAACTGTGGTTTTTGCAGCTGGAAATTGTGTCAGGGTTACGCTCTGGGATCTGGTCTGCCTGTCTTAAGTTCAATGACTCCCAGCTGCAGCCCATACTGATGGCTCCTTCTGCTCCTTCTTCCTTTCCTCCTCCTCCTCCTCCTCCTCCTCTGCACACAGGGGCACATTCATTGTCTACAAGGATGGAGATGTGGCTCACCCAATGGTGCGGGAGCGTGCCTGGCTCAACAGTGACTTCAACTTTGACAATGTTTTGTCGGGCATGATGGCCCTTTTCACTGTCTCTACTTTTGAAGGCTGGCCAGCGTGAGTTACTCTACTGGGGATTGTGCATGGGGCGTGCACACACGTGTGTATATTATTGTGTTTGTGATGATTCTCACCATTCCCATAATTCTCTTGCATGTCACTATGTAAAACAAAAATGTGAACATGATAAAGCGTGACACAGCTCTTTTGCCACACGCAAGTTATCGTGTTGTTAGCTTTCTACCCGTTGTCTTCTGCCATAATAAAGAAGCTTGTGTGACTTATTGAAGACTGGAAAGGAAATCCACCCATCTTTCTACGCCTCTTCCTACTTCTGCCTTCTGAATCATCTCCCACACTTTTGCAGTCTATAAAAATTCCTGACTGGATTAGACCAATAATTGGCATCAATTTCTGGGACTCCTGGGGCAACTTGGTCAAGTATTAGGAGGGAAGGCTCTACCAGACAGGCGGATCCACCAGAGGCAAGTGGCAAAGTCCAAAGCAGAGAAAGGCTGGCATTCTGAGAGGGGCAGCTGGGGAGCAGGGAGGGCAGGGAAGAGGAACTTGGTTGGTTCCTAGCATGAGGCTTTGTAGAGTTCGGTGGAGCCTCTGTCTCATGAACAGGTGCTGAGTCAACTGGGGAAGCTTGAATTGGTGCCTTGGTGGGAGTTCTGAGGAATACAGCTCTGCTTGCAGTTACTTGGGCAGGAAGACTATGCCTCAGTGGCATGGGAAGTAAGATGTAGGAGCCTGACTGCTGCAAGGGCTGCTTTGAGACACACCCATAGCACTTTACATGAACAGAGAAAATGTATCCTGCACTGCTACAAGGAACTCTGAGGTGTGCTTTAACAGATCATAGGGCTTAGGTGTGCTGTCGCTGCCTATCCACACCCCATGTCAAGTCACAGCCAAGATGGCGATGTTGGTCTTGGTCAGTGGGGCTCCTTTATGGGTGTTGGCCCTGGTAATTTGGGTGCCAGGTCAGCACCAACACTTTGAATTGTGCTTGGAAACGTACTGGGAACAAATGTAGATCCATTAAGACCAGTCTTTTATTGTCCTGGAGGCCGCTCCCAGTGGAACCACTGCATAACAGTGCCCCTAGCTCCCAACTCCTCTAGACGGTCCAGAAGGATGTCATGGTCAATCGTGTCAAAGGCCACTGAGAGATCCAGCAGAAGCAGGAAACAGCTTTCACCTCTGTCCCTAGCCTGCTGGAGATCATCAACCAGCGCAACCAAGGCAGTTTCAGTTCCATGATGAGGCCTGAATCTTGATTGGAAGGGATCCAAATGGTAGTATATTCTGTCCACAGAATGGTAGTTCATGCTTTTTATGGGTCTGTCTCTCCTCTTCACTGTTATGCTCTCTGTTCATAGTTTCCCTCTCTTCACCACTTTGCCCTTGCCAGGCTACTTTACAAGGCTATCGATGCCAATGCAGAAAACGAGGGGCCCATCTACAACTACCGGGTGGAGATCTCCATCTTCTTCATTGTCTACATCATCATCATTGCCTTCTTCATGATGAATATCTTCGTGGGTTTTGTCATCATCACTTTCCGAGCGCAGGGAGAACAGGAATACAAGAACTGTGAGCTGGACAAGAACCAGGTATCTCTTTCTCCTCGCTTCATGCTCTGCTGGTGCAAATCTCCATTCCCACTTGTTCCCAACCTGCGCTGCCACCATGACCAACCCATCCTCATTGTTCTGCTGCCTCATTAACTTCAGCAGTCGACTACTTCAAATTTGTGCAGTTCTGATGGAGCTGGTGGAGATTGTGGCTTTTCCCTTCTGTCTCTCTCCCTCCAGTGACTGTCCCACAATTCCTTGTACTGAATAAAGCAGGGGCAAGGAACATTTTCTGTTGAGGGCTGAATTTCCTCGGCAGGGGGGGGGTATAATCTCTCAGGGGACGGGACCAGAACCAAAAGTGGGTGGGACTATCCCTTCTCGCTCTTTTTCTCTCACCCTTATCCTTCACCCTCCCCTCTCTGTCCCTCCCCTTCCTCCCCACCTAGCAGTCCACAAGGGGAATAACAGGTTGCTCTTGCCAGAGGTCTAAACTGATTGCCTGCAGAGGCCTAGGGTACTAGTATCTACTGCTCATGCAGCAAGGCTGCTAGTCTCCTTGTGGCCTTAAATCTATATCAAGTGCCAACTTGGGGCTCCAGAACCAATACCTTTGAATAAGACCTCCCTAACATGCCTGGGATCTGGAGAGCTTTCAAAGATACCTTGAAGTGGTGATGATGTTTATGGAGCAGTTAGTGCAGGGTTGTTCATTGTTTTCTAGCTAAAACTCTTCTACTTTCCACAGCGGCAGTGCGTGGAATATGCCCTGAAGGCCCAGCCGTTACGGCGCTACATCCCCAAGAACAAATATCAGTATAAATTCTGGTACATGGTCAACTCCACCGGTTTTGAATACATCATGTTTGTGCTCATCATGCTTAACACCATTGCACTGGCTGTGCAGGTGAGAGTGAGCAGGTAACAATGAGAAGGCCAGTGTGGGTATGTGAGGGGGAGATTGGTGATGGAAGGCAGATGAGGCTAAAGAGACAGGACATTTGTCCTTCACTTGCTTGTCCTGTTCATGTCTAAAGCCAAAAAATCTACACAACAAAAAGAGCATGTGGACGAATGAAACTGAAGCCTCTTCCCTTCCTTAGTTTCCTATGCCCCATTGCCTCAGCCTGGCTCCCAATATAGGAAACTGAGTGGGCTTGAAGCACAGTGAGATAAGATCAGGAGAGAAGAGGCACACAGGTTCCATTACCTTCAAGCTCCTTTTGTTGTTTTTTAAAGGAAGAATTAGACCCACCCACCTCACAACCCCCATTTTCAAACATCAGTGGAGCAGACACATGAGTCAACAAACAAGGCAGCCCCTGCCATGACTAGTTTGATTCTTAGTGAGAAAGGTGTGAGATGACAGGCACACAGTTCAGAATGTAAAGCGAAGTTGGAGAGACCAAGAAGCTCACTTGGCAGAATAGGGCCCACTTTGGTGTGGGAGAAGTCTGTGTTGTGGGGAAGGGAATTTATGCTTAAACAACCCATACACAGGGTAATATTTTGCCTATTGTATAGAGAGGCCTGTTGCACATGCATATTTTGATACTTGTATCATTTTTAAAAACAACAACAACACACCAATGTCTTTATTTTAAATAGAGAGAGAAAAGGACTGAGGTGTTGGAGTACCAAGGCTTGTAGTGATGGCAGGAATCAGGACTTTGTCATGAGAACAAAGAGAATGTGATGCACAGTGGCCGTGTTCAATGGCTGTGAGGTGCCAGGGCTTCAAGGGCAGAGAAACGCTGACTCTGGGGGAGATGTTCATGTGGACGGCTATTTTTGGTATTAAAGGAGATCATCCAAAAGAGCAGTGCTATTTTTTTAGAAAAAGAGATGCCGGAACTCGCCATGAACACCTCCCTCATTTTCTTAGAATGGCAATGGTGCCCACCTGAGAGCTGCTGGAACTGAGTTCTTTCAAGTTCCAGCTGAAAAAAAAGCCCTGCAGAAGAGTGAATATGAGCCAGTGGGACTTGAGGGTAGATCAGGATTCCCCTCACACATCCTGCTTTCTCAAAATACCTAGGACCAGTGAAGTGCATGGCATACTTATACTTTGGGATTTTTACCCCCAAAGGCAAGCGTACTAAAGGAGACAGGCATTCTGAAGCTGAGGCAATATTCACTCCAAAGGGAACAACCCTTGAGTGGAAGGTGGGATGCTGGAGATGATGGGGAGGAGGCAGGAGAAGCCCAGGTCACACCTAGCAACAAGGTAGAAAGATAGGTGATGGGGACAAGACAGAGTCCATGGTACAAACTTGCTGAAAGGTGTGTGCACAGAGAGTGTGCCATGGCTGATCAGTAAATCAGCACCAGAGGAAGGGCCTCTGGCTGCCAACCAACAAATGTGTGGTGTGGTAGATAGGAGCCCAAAAGAACCTGGGGATGGTGGGTGGATTTTGAGAACAAGGTTGAAAGGCACCAAATCACAACAGCTCCCAGCTTGAGGGCCACAAGATCCCCAAGGTGCTCCTACATGCTTTGTGCATTTTCTCCTTTTCCAGCACTACGAACAGTCCCAGCCCTTCAACTATGTCATGGACCTGCTCAACATGGTCTTCACAGGCCTCTTCACTGTCGAGATGGTGCTGAAGATCATTGCCTTCAAGCCCAAGGTTTGGGTGCTGGGGGTTCTACTTTGCTTAGAGCAGAGGTGGGCAGTCTGCGGCCCCCCAGATTTTGCAGAGCTACAGCAGCCATCCAGCCTTTATAATTGGCCATGCTGGCTGGAGCCCAACAATACCTGGAGAGTCACAGGTCCTCCACCCCTGGCTTAGAGTCTCACCACAAACAACCATATGTTTTCAAGTTAATTCTGGAGCTTGGCAGGAATCTTGGCATGGTGCCAGTATTCACACGTTTCCAGCTGAGTGATAATAATCCCACAGGGTCTGAGGCTTTTAGTTTCAATCCCCTGCATTGATAACGATCATTTGCTCCAGCAACTAGTGTGACATACAATTCTGACTCCAGGATTTTGTGGAGTATCAGGCAAGGCACTCTCAAGGTTGCCCCTTATCCTGGAAGAGACAGGACATGCAATCCAATAATTCCCTCCCATTGCCTCCTATGCTCTTTGGTGCCTGTGGAAAGTGAGAAGGGAAGCCAGTGGCCATTTATCAGTTTTCAGGCCTCAGCAAATGCCTGACCTTACCAATCTTTGGATCCAGGCACTGGCAAGAGAGGTTCCAGAGTAATTGAAGCCTTCTCTGTGAAAATGGCCTTTCTTGGTAGAAATCTACAGCAGGGATTTATTGTATCTGCAGAGCCTCTTTGCATGAGATCCTGAAGCATATAAAAATATTGCAAAAGGAGCCTTCTGCATTTCAAGGTAACACTTCCAAGGAGTCTGAAAAAAATGTATTTAGATACATAGCCCAACTCACACCAAAGGCCCAGAGTGCATAAGAAAGCAAACCAGGATAAAGTTTCATGTTCATTTCACTTCCTCCTCACCCTCCACCTGTTTCCAACTTACTCCTGAGCTCCAAAGGCCAGCCCAAGCAGGTAGGTCTTGCAGCATTTCCCAGAGGTGTTCACACTTGGAATTCAGCGAGTCTACAGTGGGAGGAAGCCAGCCATAAATCAGGCTTTTCAAATGGCCTGATTGCAGAGTGACTTTGACATTTGAACGGCCATTTTCCTCTTTGTTATACTTAGAAACAGAAAGCAGTTTTTACAGGACTTCAGATTATATTTTTTCACCAGCAGACAGATAAATATCTCTAAGACAGTTTATCTTGTCCCAAAAGTATTTAAGAAGGAACCCACAAGGGGTCCTTACGTAGATGTCAGCTCCCCCAATTGCCTGCTCATTCTAACCTGCAGCCAAGCCCCCAGGTGCAGGCAGCAGAGATCAAAGGATTTGAGGTTCCTCCCATTCAACCCCTCTTATCTTCCAGAGTGATTAATAGTCAGACCATCTGATTGACAGTCACCATGGAATTACCTTCTATCAGCGGAACTGAGAGAAGGACAGAAGTTTCTCCTCAGGGTCCCTTGCAACTCTTCAATTCAAAGATTTTATGATTCTGTATAATTCTAGAAACTATAGGGAAAAGAAGTGCATGTGGGTCTAGCTCTGTCTGCTTTTCCACAAGAATCTATGCAGGATTTGTTCCAGAATGGCCTTTTCTCTCTCTTTCCCCCAGCACTACTTCTGTGATGCATGGAACACCTTTGATGCTCTGATCGTGGTCGGGAGTGTAGTTGACATCGCAGTCACTGAAGTCAACGTGAGTCATCCCCAGCATGAAATGTGTCCTGTGAAACAACCTCAGCTTTTTTCTTCTGCTGGGAAATGTTAGCACATCTGCAGCAAAGCTGCTGAAAGAGTTTGGATGTGTTGCAGCACCGCACATGTATGGAATGAATACCCTGAATACTTGTATCTTTTTGACAGCATAACTCAAACATAGTACCCTGAGGTCTGGAAATCTGCTTTTAAACAAAGATATAAAATTTTGTGCTAGATCCCAGCTTAAGTTTCTAATTTTGCGTATGCATAATGCAATAAACCAAAATGATTAGATGGTTTAAAAGCAAAGCATCTTTGGAGTTCATTTATTCATCCACCTTTATAATTGCCCGTCTCTTTGCCTTTTGTCTATCCATCTATGTATCCATTCTGCTATTTCTCTCTCACTTTCTCACCTGTTCTCTGCCATGCCGCTGCCTCCCATTGGATGTTATGAACCCTCGTTTCGTCTTTGCCATCATCATTCCCTTCATTATCCTGCGTTAGAATGGAGGTCATGTTGGAGAGGTATTGCACACGTATTTAATCTCAAGAAAGTTTGGAAAGGGGTGGTAGAAGGGCTAGCTGCGTCAGTGCTAAGTGTATGCAACAAACAGGTTCATAAGAGAGCCGGTATGGTGTAGTGATGGTCAGACTAGGACTGGTGAGGGCCAGGTTCAAATTCCTACTCAGCCATGAAGCTGGGTGGCAAACTCTCAGCCTAATCTACCTCACAGGTTTGTTGTGAGGATAAAATGGAGAGAGACACCACATACGGCTCCTTGGAGGAAATGCAGTATATCATGTAATAAATTAAGTGTTTGCAGATGGTGTAAGCTTGGGGGTAACAAGCAGTCTTGTGGTGGCTGGGTCAGATATTGAGGGTAACTGGATGTCATGGGGGTCACAAGTGATAATTTAAGGGTCTCCAAATTCAGGCAACTGTGTGCAGATGCTGTGTGTGCTTGTGTGTGTGTGTCTATGGCTGTGAGTGTGCTATGGTTGAGTAATTGCACATATGATTCACCAGGTGTTGACAGCTGATGCGCTGCCAGACCTGATGCCCGTCAAGGTGGGGGAAGGCAAAACTGCATAATTACAAAGCAAAATTGCGTATTAATCAGCACAAGGAGCAGCAAAGCCAGCCAGTCTGCCCCAACTCTGCTTTCATAGGGAGTCAGGGACTAGTATCAATTGGTTCATTCTGCCTTTTGGCACCAGGGGGCTTTATTTGCAGGTGCGCTTGGTCTTTTGTAATCTTACGCTTTGGCTAGTGCTGGTGGGTGGTGCTCAGGCTGAACCCTCCCTCACCTGACACCATTCATCTACTGTGGCCCTGGGTCCTCCTGACACACCATGCCTACCCTTGGGTGGGTGAGCATGCATCTGGCATGAGGTTTTCGTGTGTGCAAAGGCAGCATTGGCCTGATGTGTGCAAGCATTGACAGGGTTCATGTGATGGAACTTTATCAAGGTAGTCCTGAGTGGTGGGCTGCCTGGATTTGGGGCTTTTGCTTCGCCTTATTTCTTGCTGAATCCAATCCCACTGCTGCCACTTTCACAAGCAGGCACTTCCTTATGTCACCCACAGCAGCAGAAAGATGCCCAACAAAGGAGAGCAGCACAGTTGCCTGGCAACAAGACAACCCTCTTCCCCTTGATCCTGGGTCAGGGGCAAAGCAGGCAGCTCTGAACCTGGGAGAAGTTGTAGCAGGCCCTCCCATCAGATTGCTCTGCCTTCAGGGTAGATGCTAAAAGGGCTTTTTGTTTCCTTTGTCTTGTGTATAGGATGCCCCTGTGGTTGTGTATAGGATGCCCCTGTGGGAATATGGGTGGCCAAGATACATATGTCTTGCCTATGACAGCTATGTGCAGAGGCAGTGTTCCTCCTGGCACCAGGTGCTTTGGACAGGCAGCAGGGAGACTATCCAGGCTCTGCTGACCTGTGGATTGCTGGGGAAATGACCTGACCTGAGCCAGAAGGATCTTCCATACATGGGTGGGTTCAGTTCAGGAGTGAAGAACTTCAGGCTCAAGTGCTAAGCATGCCCCTCCAGACCCATCCTGGCCATGCCCTCTGCCCCCACTGGCCTTGCTTTGCACCACAAGCAGTTTTGCCTGTCTGGAATGTGTCCTTGAGCTCTGATCATGCCTCTTGCTGCTCTGGATGGAGGGTAGAAAGGCATGCCTGAGTGGGTGCAGAAACTAATCTACTGTACAAAAGCAAAATGTGCATTTGTTGCCTTCCCAATTTTGCTCTTGATACAGGCGCCAGCATGCAGCCCCTGGAAGGTTGCCTAGAACAGAATGTGGCCCTGGGCCTGAGAAAGGCTCCCTGCCTTTTGCATCTGCTGTGCACCAAGTTGCGTGTAGCATGTCTATACATCATACAGGAGTGGCGGGGAACCTGTTGCAGCCCTCCAGCTTCTATCATCCCTGAGCTGTAGCCATGAGGACCAGGGTTGCTGGGAGTGGAGTCTATCAATATCTGGAGGGCCACGATCCCTCATGCCTGACTTGCATGGAGTTCTTTGTTGTCGTCATGCGGGTGCTGCCAACCTGACTTCTCTCTCTGCCTCCACAGAGCTCGGAGGACAGCTCTCGCATCTCCATCACCTTCTTCCGCCTCTTCCGTGTCATGCGCCTGGTCAAGTTGCTCAGCAAAGGGGAGGGCATCCGCACCCTGCTCTGGACCTTCATCAAATCCTTCCAGGTCAGCGGGATTTCCTGGGATGTGGCCTTTCCCTCCCACAGTAGATCAAAGCATGCAGTGCTCCATCCAACACATAGGGAGGAGAAGAGCATGCTAGAGAAATGCTGAGCACAAACAGAAGCATCCTTTATAGGCTGTGCTGTGTACTGGGCTAAACCAGGCATGTCTGAGCCTGGTAGCTGGGGGGGGGGTCCAGTACTCCCAGTTCACTCTGTGTTTGTTCAACCTCCAGGCTTTGCCATATGTTGCCCTTCTTATTGCCATGATCTTCTTCATCTACGCAGTCATCGGTATGCAGGTGAGCAGACAGAACCTCCCCTACTGCTCTCCAAGCTTGCCGAGAAGCAAATTAATTCATGCCACAATTTGTGTGCTATGAGTGGGCTTTGCCTTTATTGTGCAAGTGGCTCTGGGTGCATCATGTGTGTGGGTACATGCTTTAAGAAAAGGGACACCCAGCACACTTACTTATACATGCACAAACACATGTGCATGCCTGCTATTCCAGCTGGAGTACTGCATAGGATTCTGTAGCGTTCAGGATGAATGAGTGATGTCTGTGAGAAACATGGAGTGGGTTTTTCGCTTATCACCACATACAGGAAGGCCTTGGACCTGGTCCAGTGCTGTAAGCACCATCCTGCTTCCTGTCATAGTTCTAGCTGTGTGGTGCTGGTGCAGTTTCATTCTCCACTCTTTTATAGGAGAGGAGGGCTTAATGGTTTGTATTCCAGTTTGCTTCACAGAGATTCTGCAGCTGGAATCTGTTCATGACATCTTGGCATGGCTCTGAGAGTGCTTTCCTTGCCTTTCAGACCTTTGGCAAAGTGGCCATGCAGGACGGTACGCCAATCAACCGCAACAACAACTTCCAGACCTTCCCGCAGGCGGTGCTGCTGCTCTTCAGGTGCCTCTTTGCAAAAGTATTTCTGCATTTAACAACTTAAGCCCATTTTAAGACCTTCTGGTGGTCCCTCAGTGTGTGGAACCAGTGAGCTGACTGAAAAAAACAGGAGCCCCTGAGGAATAATAACATCTTCCTAAGTGCCCCCGCAGCAAAGCTTCTGCCCCTTTCCCACAGGTGCCTCGGTCCTTAGCCCAAGTGGGTGGCTTTCACCATGTTCTTTCCACCTCTCTCCCTCCAGGTGTGCAACAGGGGAAGCCTGGCAGGAGATCATGCTGGCCAGTTTGCCTGGCAAACGCTGTGACCCCGAGTCCGACTATGAGCCTGGCGAGGAGTTCACTTGTGGCAGCAACTTTGCCATTGTCTACTTCATCAGCTTCTTCATGCTCTGCGCCTTCTTGGTGAGACTCTGCAGCAGACTTCCCTCTGCTCTCTTCCGCCTCAGCCAGTTCCAGAAAAACAGATGCCAATCCTGCTTTGCAAAGCCAGACTCCCAGTTGTAGCCAACATGTGAAAGGCCTTGTTTGCACCAGGCGGTGGGCCATTTCCCAGCCTTGGTCCCTGAAAGCCAAAGTGGGCATTGCATCGGGAATGGGCAGAATGTTTTTGGTTTCCTTTAAGGGAGAGCTCCTGCTCTCCATTAAAGCTTAACCCTTTACCTCCCTGCCATTTGTCCTCTCAAAATTCTCCTCCTCATCTCTTGGTTGCTTTCTTATCTGTCCTTGCCCAGAGATCTCAAAATGTTTCTGCTACAGCTCTGCTTAGCCAATGTGCAAGAGAACGACAGTGCAGGGGGAACAGCAAAGTGCCTCAGTGTGTGCCTTACACCTTTCGGTGGTATCCCTGTACCAGCACTAAATCTTAGGCAGATGGTCTATGCCAGATTTAACCCATTTTTTTCACCACTGCCTCTAGCTGGCACTGGGCATTCCCATGCCATGCTTAATTGCTAACACTATGACTCATCATAACCATCTTCTGACATGAAGGTTTTCCTCACCAATCCTAAACATGTGGATTGACGGAAATGGGCTTTGCCCATGCTCTCATGCGCTCTCCTCATAAGAACAGAAGAACCTGCTGGATCAAGCCAATGGCCCCTCTAGCTCAGCATCAGCAGGTGCCTGGGGGAAACCAGGGAGCAGAACGTGAGCATAAGAGCAGCCCTCTCGCCTCCCGTGGTTTCAGAAGCACTGCCATCTCCAGCTATGGAGGCAGAGCATGGCCACATTGGCTAGTAGCCATTGATAGCCCTCTCAACTGTGAATTTGTCTAATCCTCTTTTAAAGCCATTCCATCCAGGGGAAGTGAGTTCCATAGTCCAACTGTCTGAAGAAGGACTTTCATTTATCTGTCCTCAACATGGTGCTAATTGTGCGCATTCCAACATTGATTCAAAGCCCGGAAAGCAGTTTCCGTAAGAGTTTGTGAGCTCTGATTCATGGAAAGCCTTCCAATGGTGGCTACAACTCAAAAGACACTTACTTGGGAGTAAGTCCTAGTGATCTTGATATCAGAGGAACAGGCTGTTTGCCTCTGAGGTCTTGCTCTCCTTGCCTCTCATGGGCTCTTTGGGTGCATTCACTGACCTTCACTCCATTTCACCTCTTCTAGATCATCAACCTCTTTGTTGCTGTCATCATGGATAATTTTGACTATCTGACCCGGGACTGGTCCATTCTGGGTCCCCACCATCTTGATGAATTCAAGAGGATCTGGTCAGAGTACGATCCAGCTGCCAAGTAGGAGACACATGTCTTTCTTCTGCAATTACAGTAACTACTTACATGGAAATGCAATGGAATGTTGCGATCATCCAGAAATTCTGGAACTTTCCACTAGGGGCAGCAGAGAGAAGTTTTGTCCTTCTCCTGGTTTATAGCTCCATTTGCAGAGGTCCCGTGATACAATATCTTGAAATCTCAGGCAATAAGAGGGGTGTTATTTTAACATTTTTGCCGGTGTAATTGTGTGCCACAAGGGGCACTAAACAGCAGGACCATCTTAAGCATATCTGGCGCCGTGGTGCAATGCTCCCTCCGGTGCTCCGGCGCTGCTGGCGGGGCTGGAGGAGGCAGGCAGCGGCTAGAGGGCGGGTTCTCCATCGGGGAAGAGGTGGAGGCTGGACACGGCACCTCCCGACTCAGCTGACCGCTTCGTGCTGCGGTGGCCACGGCAGACGGAGGCTCCGGGCGTGGCGCTGCTTCGGCGTGGCATGGCAGAGGCAGGCGAGGACGGCGAGCTGATGCCAGGAGGTGCCGTGTCCAGCCTCTGCCTCTTCCCTGGCGCCCTCCAGAACTTGGTGCCCTGGCGCCCCGCGCCACTAGCCTTTATGGGTAAGATGCCCCTGCTAAACAGTGTACTTGGACCTGTCACTTCCTGACCCAGAGGAGCAGAGCTGGAGGAGAGCAATGGCTCTGCTTCACATAGTTCACATAAGGAACAGGGGTCTTTTCTAGGCCCTGGCTAGTCTGCCACCACCCATTGAGGGAGGCAGCACCCCACCTATCCCACAGCTCCTTACCACCCACTTGAGATGCCAATGTGGTGCAGTGGTTAGAGTGTTGGACTAGGACTTGGGAGACTAGGGTTCAAAACCCCATTTGGCCCTGAAGCTCCCCTTGGAGTCAGTCACAATTGCTGTGGGGATTAAATGAGGAAGGGAAGAACCACGTACACCACCTTGAGCTCCATGGAGAAAAGAGTAGAATATAAATGCAATAAATAATAGAATCACAGAATTCTAGAGTTGGAAGGGACCCTGAGGACCATGTAGTTCAACCCCTGCAATGCAGGAATAGGCAACTGTCCCTTACAGGGATCAAACCTGCAACTAATAAATAAGTTCTCTTCCTCCAGGGGCCGCATCAAGCACCTTGATGTAGTGACTCTACTACGCCGGATACAGCCTCCGCTGGGTTTTGGGAAACTCTGCCCCCACCGAGTAGCTTGCAAGGTAATCTCAAGGGGCCCACCTGAGTGTGACTCCTGGGTTCTCACTTCCTCGGAGAACATCGTGGCCGGGTTCTAGCTCCAGAGCCTATCAGTCCTCATGGGTTCCCTTGGAGGACTTTATGAAGGGAATGAGGTGGGTGGGGCTACAGTAGAGAGGTAGCTGGGGAGGACAGGTGACAAGGATTCTTGCTTTTAATTCATTTGTCTCTGCAGAGGCTGGTGGCTATGAACATGCCCCTGAACTCAGATGGAACTGTCACCTTCAATGCCACTCTCTTTGCCTTGGTGCGGACATCCCTCAAGATCAAAACAGAAGGTGAGGTACAAGACCGTTCTCATGGCGCTTGCCCTCAGTATATGCAGAATTGTTACTAGCTGATGAGAAAGAACATTTTATACTCTCCGGGAATGATGTTTTTTCTCCAAGCACGTAACTGGATTTATGCAAATCCACTTGCCCAGTTGCTAGTAGCAACTGCAACTCCCATCTTATGCCACACACCTAGCCGAAATACTCCTTCCCTGGAAATCCACAGAAGAGAAAGTGGAAAGTTAGAAACTTCTCTCCTTTCCTGCTAGGCTTTTGCAGGATTGTGGAAAGAAATACCTTGAAAGGGTCAATGGTGGCCACAAATAAAGTGGGCTATTCAGCCAAACTCTGCAGACCCTACATTCCAAAATCCAGGGCTAAGACCCAGCACTAAAAATACGATCTGGTCCCAAAGCTTCACTTCTCCTTCCCCACCTCCTGCAACTGTCCTTTGGGTTAGGCCAGAAGGCCTTGCTTCAGCCACCTCCGGTTTCCACTACCCCACTTTCATCCCACTCCGCTTTGGCTTGGACCCCCACCCACCCACCCTATGCGCACCTTGTTGTTCACAAGGCACCCCCAGTGGTGACCCTGGGCATTTGTTTGTTTGCTTGCTTGTTATTCATTATCTTTGTATTGGGATTGCTCATCCAATCAAATTTCTTACATACCGTAATTCATAAAGGTAAAGGTACCCCAGACTGTTAGGTCCCGTCGCGGATGACTTTGGGGTTGTGCACTCATCTCACTCTATAGGCTGAGGGAGCCAGCATACAGCTTCTGGGTCATGTGGCCAGCATGACTAAGCCACTTCTGGCAAACCAGAGCAGCGCACGGAAATGCTGTTTACCTTCCCGCCAGAGTGATACCTATGTATCTACTTGCACTTTGATGTGCTTTTGAGCTGCTAGGTGGGCAGGAGCAGGGACCGAGCAACGGGAGCTCACCCCGTCACGAGGGTTCGAACCGCCGACCTTATGATCGGCAAGCCCTAGGCTCAGTGGTTTAGACCACAGCACCACCTGCATCCCTTTACATAATTCATATAGACAACAAAATACAAAACACAATTTAAAAAACATTTTAAAAGGCACAAAAATGCAGCAAGAAACATAACTGACTAGAACCCACTGCTCATATTCCACAGAACAGCTGCCTAACCACGGAAGCAGGCAATAGGGGTGATCTGTGGGGGGCATTTGTCACCTCCCCCCCCCAGTCATATGTATAGATGGAGGATGGAGAGAATCATGTAAGCAGGACTAGTTCAGTGGAACAGCCATTGCAAGGACTTGGGCTTGAGCTGCAGGGCCTTGAGGAGTCACAGGCAAACCCCAGAGTGCGCTGCAAGGGCACGGATTGGTGCCAAGGCATTACTGTAACCCCCTAGTGCAGGAATCTAGAAGAGGGGTTTTGTTCGGATCCACCCCACAAACTTAAAGCACATTTAAAGGATTTGGGGAATTGTAGCTCTGTTGGGCGTAAACTATACTTCCCAGGTTTTTGTGGGGGAGCCATGTGCTTTAAATGTGTGGTGTGGTCCTCATTCTCCCCCCACTCTTGTAGGAGACCTGGATGTGGCAAATAAGGAGCTTCGTGCTGTAATCAAAAAGATCTGGAAGCGGACCAAGCCCAAAATCCTGGATGAAGTTATCCCTCCACCAGAAGGTCAGTGCCCCTTTGTCCTAGCAACCGGACTCTGCCCCATCCCCACTGCCCAGAGATAAAAACTGAACCAAGCACTCTTGGCTTTCCATCCAGAACCTACTCTGAGTCCCATTTAACTGAGTGCTGGTTTGCTCTCAGGGCTGGTCCAAGCACTGAAGTAATCTCTAGGTTGCTTAGGGCATTGTTGTGTAGCAACCGGAGGTGGCATCTGCTTTACCTTCTGAGGGCCACCTTGGCAAGTTCAACAAAGGATAAAGAAAGGAAGCTTGGAAGATATGGTTCTGTAGTGATACTTGGGATTCCTGCAGCAATGACGCAAGGAGTTCAGTGGACCTAGGGGACTGGGAGAGCACTGCAGCTTGGCAAGCATCCTGGAGAGTATTGAGTCTTTGCAGAGCACCAAGTAAGTGATCTACAGCAGGCACCGGGCAAAACCACACCGTGCTTTAATGTGTCCTACCCACATGCCTCCAGAGTATCAAGAGAAATGGGGAAGTCAGAGGCTGTGTTGGCTTGATGGGCACTTTCAGCAATCATGGACCTTGGAGCAGGTGCCAGTCTTGCCCATTGCCAGCCCTGTTTATGAAGGATCTTGCATATATGAAGAATTTTGCAATAATAATAATAATAATAATAATAATAATAATAATAATAAATTATTTATACCCAGCCCATCTGGCTGGGTTTCCCCAGCCACTCTGGGGGGAAATAAAGTCATATTGTATTTGGCACAAGATGGAGATCATCTTTGGGGAAAATAGACCTTCAGATCGGCAGAACCACCATGTTAATCTGTTTCAGAGGAAATAAAGCAGGGGCTCCTGTGGCACCTTCAAGACTGCCACCATAAATTAAGGTTGTACTCTTTAAGATGCCATAGGACACTGTGACCTTTAAAAACTAGCCCACCTATTCCATGGAGCTTTTTGGAAATACAGATGTTCCAAAAAACAAGCCACAGATTCCTAACAAGAGTGCACTTAACGTCTTCCCTTGGCAGAGGAGGAGGTCACTGTTGGAAAGTTCTATGCCACATTCCTGATCCAGGATTACTTCCGTAAATTCCGTAAGCGGAAGGAGAAAGGAATGCTTGGTCCAGATGGGTCCCCAAGCAACTCTACTGCCTTGCAGGTGAGTATCCTTGTTTTGCTGTGGGCCTCCTAGCTGCTCTAATGAACAGAGAATGCAACATGGACACCAGGCTGGCTGATCCTGCTGCGTTGGTGCTTCTCTCCCATTCAGGCTGGGTTGAAAAGTTTGCAAGATCTGGGGCCTGAGATCCGCCGGGCCATGTCCTGTGACCTGGAAGAAGAGGAGGAAGCTGAGGAAACTGTGTGTGAGGAGGAAACCGTGACGTATAAGGTGAGCCTTTGGTCTAGTTTTCTCTGAGTGAGTTAACCTCCATCTGGAGTGCACCACTTTGGACTGAACATATGGAAGAATCATATGACTGAATGCTACTCCATATCAAAACATTCCCTGCACCTGGAAAACACATGTTAGGAAGAATGCTAAAGTAGAATTCTTCTTTCTGGACATACTAGTTTTCTACCTGTTGGGATTTCTCTTTTTAACAGAGCAGAATTCAGTCATGGCAGCTCCCATGGTACAGCCCAAATATAGGTTCATCACCTCAGTGATGCCTCCTCTTTGCCCACTAATTGAGCAGGGCAGAAAAGCAGACAGGGTATTGGTTATCATGGACCACTACCATAGGGATAACTGATAGCTGGGAAACACTGGCCTGCAAGCACTCCAGCTGGAGAACAGCCTTGACCAAAGGTGTCGTGGACTTTGAAGAAGCTTGAACTTAGGACGAAAAGGAGAAATGAGCTAAGAGGAAGGCACACTTGGCAATCCCTCACCATGATCAACTCCTGCCCAGAAACCTCTTTCCCCACTGTGGATGGACATGTGGATCCAGAATTGACCTCCACTTACAGACTCACTGTTAAGACCGTTTTCATGGAAGACAATCGTACTTGGCTACGAGTGATCGCCAGAGAGGAAGATTACCATAGGGCCAAAAACATTGTCCACTGGAGTTCAGAAGGGACATTTCACTCCACGTTCACAGTAGTTATTATCAAATCTCAGGTTGGGAAATAATTTTCTAGAGGTGGAGCACATGGAGCAGCTCAGTGAGGAAGGCAGTGGAATAATAGCCACCAGGGGCCTCCTTGCCAGTTGCCAGGAAATCTATAGAAGAGATAGATGAAGTTAGACAAAGCCTAGACAATGTGAGAAATCCACGGCCTTCCAGACATTGATGAAATGCGCCTCCATCACTCTTGTTTATTAGGCCCTAATGGCTGGGGATGGCTGCTTTAACTCAAGGCACTGCATAGTCTCTTGTTTCCTCTTGGTTTTAATTTTGTTTGCTACCACCCTCCATTCAAACTAAAGGATGCCAAATTAATATTTACTGTATATAAACTTCCAGAACTGTATTCTATTCAATTATTATGATAGAGTGTCATAGTATATCTAATTAGCAGATTTGAAAATAATTTACAGAATCGTTTTACGTAAAAAGTGATGGAGAGCAAATTCTTTTGAAAGGTAAATCCTGGTTTCTGCTCTTTCAACCACCTTCCCAGAGAGCTTAGTGTGGAATGCCAAATTGGAAATGTTTCCACTAACCAGTTCTCCACTGCTTTTCCACGCCCCTTGTTCTGTTCCCAAATTGGAAAAGGCTGCAACTGAATCGCTGAGAGAACAGATGTGTGTACAATATGTTGTTCCAAATTCCAGAAGAGAAGAAATTACAAAGGTTGTGAGAGATTTGGAGGAAGGAAATAAGAATTCTTTCTGCAAAGTTGTAAAGTGCTCATGGCTTGTCAATACCGACTCCAGAAGCTCAGGCACTTTTGTGCTGACAGAAACCTGTGACCACCCCAGCACTTCCGCAGGCGCAATGGTATTGAAAGCATGGTTGCATATAATTGCAGCAATAGCATCATGAGAACAAATCATGATGAATGCTCAATAAAAAAAGATGTCTGGAAAGGCACAGAGGTAGGAAGATGCTAGGGTTGCTCATAGCCCAAATTCCCATTATAAAAGGGAAGCTGCCTCTGGCTGGGGTAGCCAGAGAACATTAGCCTTGTTCTCAGCATGGCATCTCTCTGGCATTCCTATATCAGGGCTGGAGATTTGCACTGGAAGTCATAAAGAAAAGCCAGTTCAACTTCATATTAGAGCTGCAAGTCAGGATGGTCCAGGCAGTGAAGGAGAGAACATCGGAGGGCAGAGGAGCCTCAGGAGGGAAGAGCTGGCAGAATGCAAATTTGAGGAAGAAAGAATATGCATAAGTGGTCCGGAGCTGGAGAGATGAAGGAGATCAAAGTTCACACATTCATATTTTAAACAAGCAGCCAGATTTTGTGCTGCAGACCTTCAGTGCTCCTGTAATGTGTGAAGTGATCTGAGGGCAGCAATGGACTGTTGGTTTTTATGACATGCCCAGGCTTCTCTCTTCCCACAGAGCTCTGAGGCGTTGTATGGCAGTGCGCCTGACCACCACGTCACAGCTGCTTCACCAGACGGGGAGAACAAGACTCTGATGAATGGCCTTGTGGGCTCCCGGCACCCCTCAAGCGTCAGCCTCTCCCACATGACTAATGGACCAACCCACTATGAGGAGAACGTTGGGGGCAATGATGAACCTGCTGAACTGCCCAACATCCCCACCCGGCGCAGGATGAGCAGGTGCTGGCCAGGATGAGGTCCTGGGCTTGTGGGGGAAGGAAGAGTGTGGTGTGGCTGAGTGGGGAGGCAGGAGCCAGGATTCCAGAGTTCCTTACAGCCCTCTGTACCTCTTCAGGCGGAGCTCTGATAGCAGCGGCATCCCGCCTACAGTGCATGAAGAAGCCACACACACCGAAGACTACAGGGAGGACACCTCAGTGGAGCAGGGATACTATAGCCGGGAAGAGGACTCTGAGAGCCTGGCCTCCCGTGACAGGTAAGAGTCAGGTCCTGAGACAGAACAGAGCAACTTTGGACATGGCCCTGGCCTTATTTGCAAGTTGCCATAACAAAATGACTGCTTCTCTGTAGTCCAGTTCCACATTGTTCCAGTTAACATCTCAGTGGAGGAATAATGTGGCACCTTCTGCTGCAATCCTGCTCCTTCATGCAGAAGTCAAATAGTAAAGAATCACATAATTTCCTCCATCCGCGGTACATAACTATGTGAAAGGGGCATCCGGACCCAATGTCGCCACTGAGGGACAGCATAGACATTGGTGTCTTTATGATATATGGCCCTCATTGTTGAAGGGCCACAGTCTGTGGACAGTAAATGATTGTGGCAAATCTCAACACCAGGAAGAAATTCCTCACAGTGCAAACTGAGAGTGGAACAGACTGCCTCGGATGGTAGTGGTGGACTCTTCATTTGAGGTTTTGTTGACCACCTGCCATAGTGGATTTCCTGAACTGGCAGAGGGTTGGATTTGATGGCCTTTTCAAATCCCTTCCAGGCCTTTGCTTCCTTGGGGTCGGCATGCTCACTCAACGCTGAGGCTGCAAAGAACGAGGGTTCCAGGGCCATTAGGAACGAAGGCTGTTTTGTCATTCACTGACTTGTGTGCTTTCTTCCCTATGCAGGCAGCCCTGTCTTCACACTCCTCAGCCCCATCGTCGTCGTTGGGACAACAGCTATGGCGGCTCTTTGCCCCTCCCCTCCCGGCGCCTCAACAATGGGATGGTTAATGGCATGCTGGATGGGAGGCAACCCAAGCGCAGGCGCCTCCTGCCTCCCACACCCACAGGTCAGGATGGCAAGGAACTTGGGTTACCTGGGCAAGTGACTCTGGGAGTGCGTAAATGGAGGAGGGCTGGATTGCATGGCTCCCCTGGGTCACAAATACACCCCCTTTTTAAATACAGTAGTACCTTGGGTTACATACGCTTCAGGTTACATATGCTTCAGGTTACAGACTCCACTAACCCAGAAATAGTACCTCAGGGTAAGAACTTTGCTTCAGGATGAGAACAGAAATCGTGCTCCAGTGGCGCGGCAGCAGCCGGAGGCCCCATTAGCTAAAGTGGTGCTTCAGGTTAAGAAGAGACCTCTGGAACGAATTAAGTACTTAACCCGAGGTACCACCGTATATGCTGCAGAGTCAAGAAGAAAAGCTTTTCATAGACAGTACTTCTTCAGACTTTAGTTCAAACTTTGGTTCAAAGTTCTCCTGGGAGTGGGTGGGTAGCTTCTTGCAGATAGAAAGCTAGCAGGGAGAAGTCTTCTGTCAGAATGCAGCTATTTTATGCACAGGGAGTTTTCTTCATGAGAGGAGCATTTAAACACTGATAGAGTTACATGCTCGATGGATCGGGGGAATGCTGTGGACATAGAGAATATGGATCAGTAAGGCTTTTGAAAAAGTTCCCCATTATATTATTGCAAGGAAGCTGGTAAAATGGGGGCTGCGCAAGGCAACTGTTAGCTGAATTTGTAGCTGGTTGACTGACCAGTGCTCACTCATGGTTCCTCAGGGATCACCTTGGCACTCGTCCATTTTGGCTCCCGAACGCTGCCAACTGCACTTTGCGAATGTTCTTTGGAAGCCAAATGTCTGATGGGGCTTCCGCAGCTTCCGATTGGCTGCAGGAGCTTCCTGCCTTGGAAGCCATGCCTTGGTTCTGAATGCTTTGGAGGTCAAACGGACTTCTGGAATGGGTTCCGTTTGACTTCCAAGGTATCACTGTATATATGTAGAGAGAGACGGTATTGCATGACACTCCAATCACCAAGCAATGTGAGATTCCAGGGGTTCTCAACACTTACCCAGGGTTCAATTTATTTGGAATGAGGGGCAGCAGACACACACACACACACACACACACACACACACACACATATATATATATATATCTGTCCCTCTCTGGCCTTCTGGCTTCTTCTAGCCAGATCTCACAACTCTTTTCCCTTCTCACTGCCACTCCCAGACAGGTGAGGGAGCAGGGACAGAGCAGCTTCCTCACTTACACTAATGACCCATACTTAGGTGGCCATTACAAAGAACCTGGCCTTGCTATTCCTTGCTGGATCCAGGAATTGGAAGAGACTCAGCAATACGGCCTACTCACCCCCGCCCCCCCCCCACAACTCACACTACCTCCCTCCAACAACAAGACATTTCCCCCCAGATATACAAACAAACAACAGGCCTTTTAAACCACTTTAGAGTTATTGTCTCTGCTGTGTGTTTTTGTGTTTTTGTCTTTTGTTTGCTTTGCTGCCCTTTCTTCTGTATGTTATTGTGGCGTGAGAGTTTATGTTTCTTGGTGTTTGTTTGTTTTTTAAAAACCTTTTTATAAACATTGTGAGCCCCTCTGAAAACACTGGTGTGTAATGTATCAAATGAACAAACTGTTTGGTGGTCGGTGGGTTCAGCCAAATGCGCTGGTGGGGCAGAGGGCAGCCTCCCCACACTTGTGGCCTCTTATACCTTCTCTGGCCTTCCTTTCCCCACCTCCCTGCTTTTGGTAGGCCGCAAACCAGCCTTCAGCATCCAGTGCCTGCAGCGTCAAGGCAGCTGTGATGACATCCCCATCCCAGGCACCTACCACCAGAATGCGCCACCCTGCCGAGCACGTGCACAGGTAATTCTTGCACAGTGTGTGTGTGTGTGTGTGTGTGTGAGAGAGAGAGAGAGAGAGAGAGAGAGAGAGAGAGAGACTGACTTAGTATGTACTTCTGTTCTACTGCTGAGGCCATCCCATCCACTGGCCATCTCACCAACTCTCTCCTTTGTACCAGGGCTATGGCAGCTATGACTCGTGGCACAGTGGCAGCCACTCCTCAACAGCATCCTCACAGTCGTGGGCCACACCACCTAAACGGGGCCGGTTGCTCTATGCCCCACTAATCCTGGTGGAGGAGGATGGGTTGCCAGGGCACAGCTGGGAGAAGAACAGCAACAGCCTTCCGCCCATGTCGCGAGCGCGCTGGTACATGAATGAGCCTGAGCTGCCCTACCGCTCTTATGGCCAGCTGCGTGTGCCCGGCCCACTCAAGCACAGCTACAGCGACAAGCCTGGCAGTGCCGACAGCCTGGTGGAGGCGGTGAGTGCAAGGCGGACTTCTCTTTCTCTGGGATGCAGCTCTTTGGGACCCACCTTCCACTGCCCCCTCATCCCTCCTGCAAGAATAGTTTTTGTCACCCTGATTGGGGTGGGTGTGGGTGAATCAGTGTTTCTCAAACTTGGACCCCCAGCAGTTGTTGGACTACAACTCCCATCATTCCTGACCACTGATCCTACTAGCTCAGGGTGATGGGAGTTGGGGACCCAAGTTTGTGAAACACTGGCATGTATTTAAATCCTTTTGTTTTCCCTTGGTTACTCAGCCTCATGCAAGTGTGCCTACAACCACACATACCGTATTTTTCGCACCATAGGACGCACTTTTTCCCTCCTAAAAAGCAAGGAAAAATGTGTGTGCGTCCTATGGAGCGAATGCAGGGGGGAGGCAGGCGGAAAAAGCCCCCAAGAGCCGCACACAAGCTCCTTGCGCTCTTGCGGGCTTTTCCACAGGAGGGAGAAGGGACTGACTGGCCGCATCAGTCCCTTCTCCCACCTCCCAGGAAAGCCAGGAGAAGCCGTGCAGCCCTTTTAAAGTGCGCACGGCTTCTGCCGGTTTTGCGGGAGGTGGGGGAATTCCCCCACCTCCCAGAAAAGCCAGGAGAAGCCGTGCAGCCCTTTTAAAGTGCGCGCGGCTTCTGCCGGTTTTGCGGGAGGTGGGGGAATTCCCCCACCTCCCAGAAAAGCCAGGAAAGCCCTGCGCAGCGTCTCCCGGCAAGGAGAGGCTGCACGGGGCTAAAGGGGAAGGCAAAACAGCGAGCGGGATCCACCCCGCTCGCTGCCTTGCCTTCTTCCATAGCTGCGCGCAACCCCTCTGCAAGGAGAGGCTGCGCGGGGCTAAAGGGGAAGGCAAAACAGCGAGCGGGATCCATCCTGCTCGCTGCCTTGCCTTCTTCCATAGCTGCGCGCAACCCCTCCGCAAGGAGAGGCTGCGTGGGGCTAAAGGGGAAGGCAAAACAGCGAGCGGGATCCACCCCGCTCGCTGCCTTGCCTTCTTCCATAGCTGCGCGCAACCCCTCCGCAAGGAGAGGCTGCGCGGGGCTAAAGGGGAAGGCAAAACAGCGAGCGGGATCCATCCTGCTCGCTGCCTTGCCTTCTTCCATAGCTGCGCGCAACCCCTCCGCAAGGAGAGGCTGCACGGGGCTAAAGGGGAAGGCAAAACAGCGAGCGGGATCCACCCCGCTCGCTGCCTTGCCTTCTTCCATAGCTGCGCGCAACCCCTCCGCAAGGAGAGGCTGCGCGGGGCTAAAGGGGAAGGCAAAACAGCGAGCGGGATCCATCCTGCTCGCTGCCTTGCCTTCTTCCATAGCTGCGCGCAACCCCTCTGCAAGGAGAGGCTGCGCGGGGCTATGGCTTCTTTAGCCCTGCTCAGCGTCTCCCGGCAAGGAGAGGCTGCATGGGGCTAAAGGGGAAGCCAAAACTTGGCTTGCTCCATAGCTGCGCGCAACCCCTCCAGCAGGGAGAGGTTGTGCGCACCCTGTACGCTGCTCTTTGGGGCTGGGGGGGAAAAGATTTTTTTCTTGATTTCCCCCCCTAAAAACTGGGTGCGCCCTATGGTCCGGTGCGCCCTATGGTGCGAAAAATACGGTAAATCCAATGTGGGGGGTGGGGGTGGCAAGTTGTGCCTTCCCTCCAGCTTGTGAACCTTTCTTACTTAAGGATATCAGCAGCCCCAGTATGGAAAGCTCCTCTGGTTTAGTCTTCTGGTATGCTGCTTAGGGCAGAAGAGATTTTATCGCTAGGAGGGTTGTATGTGTGCTGCACTGATAATTATTTCAAATTACATGCCAAATAAGGCCAGATTTTGCAGCCTAAAACCAAAACATCAGCTGGTGTCATCCGTATTATACAGAGTTCATTCTGGTTCTACAAGCAATGGCAGAATGAGAAAGAGCCAGAGCCTCACTCCTGGCTGCCTTCTAAGGCTGTACTGGGCACAGCTTTACAAGTTTTTTTAGCACATCCCCAACACTGTGCAGGCTAAAATCAGGCATTTGCTTTTAGCAGACATATGTGATTCTCAAATTACTGGATTTGATATCCATTCTAGTGTTTGGCTTGTGGTATTAAATGTTGGAGGACGGGAAATGAGCAACAGATTCACCTATGAAATCCACTGGCTCTATTAAGACAGCATGCCAAGCCATGAATTGTGTTATCCATAGTTTACAATCCAAGCCATGGTTTGAACTTCCAAATATACAACAGGCTGGCCATGGTTGCTTATTTGGTTTCATAAGTGTGCTCCCACCTCCGTTGCGCAGCAGCTTCTTGAGGCAGAGTGATAACCATAAGTATGGTTTGTCAGTTCAGGAATCATCCTAAGCCACAGTGAGCACAAACCATGGTTTTCAAGGTCACTTCAAACCATGATTTCTATTTCCAGTTTGCCAGCTGACTGAAAGCTAGTTTACCAATTTAGACAACATAGGTAAGCTTACTTAACCATGATTTGGTGTGATGTCCAAATTGAGCTACTGACTTGGTTGGTTGTGTGCTGCATAACTTTGACTAGCAGAACCCTTTCATCTTTCTTCTTCCAGGTGCTCATCTCTGAGGGTCTAGGCCTTTATGCACGGGACCCAAAGTTTGTGGCCTTCACCAAGCGGGAGATTGCTGATGCCTGCCACATGACCATTGATGAGATGGAGAGTGCTGCCACAGACCTGCTGAGTCGCAAGGTCCCTGGTAGCGAAAGCAGCGGCCGAGGTAGTGGTGGTCACGCCTTGTACAGCAGCGACGGGGAGCACAGTGGGGCTGGGAGCCTAGGTCCCGTTTACAGCGATGAGGAGCCCTTCCGCTCCCGTGAGGAAGAGGACTTGGGTGACGAGATGGCCTGCGTCACTTCTTATTGACCAGGAAGTGCCCCCTGGCGGGGCACAGGAGTAGAACTGCTGCAGCGAGATACCTAGCACTCTGCAACCTTTGTAGTCTAAAGGCATAGGCTTGCCCAAAGCTGTGCTATGGTGGGAGTGACTGCGGAAAAGGATGGGAGACAAAATGCTGCCCTCCCACTGGCTGATACAAAAGCAGCTGCTAGAAACGTTGTCCTACTACTTTCCTGGTTTAGGCAGTCTGCTCCTTGCTGCCCCTTCTCCAGGCTTTTGACTCCTTCCCAGTGGCCCAGAAAGAGAAAGGGACCTCTGGATTTCTTCCTCTGAGCAAGGATTGTGGATTTTGAAGAGGTTGGGGGGGGCGGGGTTCCAAGGTGATTAGACAATGTCTTTTTCTATCAGAAGCAATAAAAAGATGCTTTGAAAGATGCTGCTGCCTCTTTATATATATATTATTTTATTCTTATAAGACAATGTGATGCACATCAACCCAAAAAGAAGAAGATAAGAGAGGCATCACAACATGTTTAGGATTGCTCCCCTATTCATACCCATATTATTCAGCCATAGTATCACATCCAATATGGGGGCTGGCCTTGTGACCAGGGGCTGCTGTCATTTCATCCCATTGTGTCTTTCCACAGAAGTCCAGGCACTGATGGGGGCTGCCAGTCATGTTCCTACCAGCTATGTACATAATAAATCATAGTTGCAGCCTCTAATACTGGACAGAAGGGGGGGGCAATTGAAAAAATAAGGTGTTCTTCTCCCTGAGTTTCCCACTTTTCCTTTTCTTTAACCTCTACCAACTCTTTGTAGAATAAGGTGTTTCATAAATGCGATCAAAATTTAATCCAGTATACTTTACGGGGCCCTTGTTTTGTACTCACATACATGGAGAGCAGGGAGGGTCCACCACCCACCTGAATGGATAATCGAACAGGACACATTAGTGGTTTTCAGTTATATGGCTAAAGGTTGGACAGAATGCCTTCCATGAGTCACCTACCAATACAGACAGATGTTCAGTGGACTGACCACCACCACCAATCCCCACAAGGAAATTACACAATTCCCTTTAGCAGTGGGGTTTTGTTTTGTTTTGGGTTTTTTGCTAAACTGCTTTGCTAGGGAACAATCCTCCCATCAGCTCCATATGCAGTGCAGCCAGTTTGGGTTTCATGCCAATTTCTTAATTAGACTAGCTATAATAACAAAGGTGGGTTTGTAAGTTACACTGCGACTTTTGTAAGTCCACATTTACTCAATAAGATCCCACCCAGAAGGCAGAAGATGCAAAGCAGGACCACTTTTCTCAATGTTAGACTGCCTGGAAATCTGAGATTGCTGACATCAAAACTCCCAGAGTCAAAGAATTACTTTGAACGCATATATTCGTATACAGCCAGCCTTGGCTGCTGCCTCTATAGGACCCCGCTGGGTTTTATTAAACTTGCGTAACTCTTCCTAGAAATGTCTGAGGCATCAAAGACACCTTTGTCTCTGCACTAATTGCTCCACAATGGACTAAATTGGGCATCTGTGTAATAGTACAGGCGCCTCTAAAAGGAAAGGCTACCTGCTAAGTCCAGTTTCCCTTTGAAGTTCTTTCTGATACGCAGAAAGAGGATGCTTTGGCCTTCCCTTTAGGTATGGTTGAACAAAACCCCGAAAACTGACGTCACCAGAGATATGAAAGGTATTGTACAGTGACTGGCAGAAGTGGTTTGCTGTGCCACTTTATTCATCAGTTTTCCTATTATTTATTCTTTTTATCCTACCCTTCCTCCAAAGGAGCTCTGTGTAATATGCATGATTTCTCCCTGCTCCCTGGCACATCTCCATGCTAACGGATTGGAGCAACCACATCGCCCTGCTCAAGTTGTGCAGCTGATAGTTGTAGTCCAAAACATCTGGAGGGGGCCAGGTTGGCAAAGGCTGAAGGTAAAGGACCCCTGACAGTTCAGTCCAGTCGCAAACGACTCTGGGGTTGCGGTGCTCATCTCGCTTTACTGGCCGAGGGAGCCGGCGTTTGTCCGCAGACAGTTTTTCTGGGTCATGTGGCCAGCATGACTAAGCCGCTTCTGGCAAAATCAAGCACCGTTTACCTTCCCGCCGGAGCGGTACCTATTTATCTACTTGCACTTTGATGTGCTTTCGAACTACTAGGTTGGCAGGAGCTGGGACCGAGCAACGGGAGCTTACCCTGTCACGGGGATTCAAACCACCGACCTTCTGATCAGCAAGCCCTAGGCTCAGTGGTTTAGACCACAGTGCCACCCGTGTCCCTCTGGCAAAGGCTAGTGTAGAATAAATAGACTTCCCCCCAATGAAGTTAACTAATGGAAGCAAACAAATATGAAATAATAATAAATAATAATTTATTATTTATACCCCGCCCATCTGGTTGGGTTTCCCGCGCCACTCTGGGCGGCTTCCAACAAAATATTAAAAATATATTAAAACATCAGTCATTAAAAACTTCCCTAAACAGAGGTGCCTTCAGATGCCTTCTAAAAGTCAGATAGTCATTTATTTCCTTGACATCTGATGGGAGGGTGTTCCACAGGGTGGGCGCCACTACCGAGAAGGCCCTCTGCCTGGTTCCCTGTAACCTCACTTCTCGCAGTGAGGGAACCGCCAAAAGGCCCTCAGCACTGGACCTCAAAGTGAACAAATAATGAAGACATAAAATCCTGTTTCTCCTCTTTATAAGTTTGTCTCTTTTTCTGCTGTTGTTATCACTCCTCATAAAGTTACAGCCAAGTATATATTCATAAATGCAGACTGAAGAGTAGCACTCTGGCTTATGGGCTGCCACATAGATGGTGGAGCAAATTGTTCTCTTTTGCTCCAGCATGTAAGACCCACACCAACAACTTCACATGGCAAGAAAGGGAACTTTGCCTGACAGTACAAGCTGTTCAACAATGCAACAGACTCCTGGTTTGGAGGGCTGCAGATCAAGTATGCTCTAGCGGTGGATTTACTGCGTTAGCAAGGTGTCTGGATTACATGACTTCTGAGTACTCTTCCAACCCCCCAGTTCTCCTCTGGGTTACCTTCACAAAAAGAGATAATGCAGCCATGTTGAGATAAGGTTCTCCAGGTGGTCCTGATGCAACATTGCCTTGGCAATAAGAGCTTCTTCATGGATCAAAAGGTCCCAGAATTTAGAGAGCCAATTCTCCACTACATTGGTTGCTTCAGCTCTCAGAATCTGATGTTCCATCCCAGGCAGGGGTCAGGTTTGTATCCTAAGTGGTGGGTGGGTGTGCTGGGCACATACTCCAGAGAAACAAGGTCACATGGCTGGTGCCTGTTCAGGATCTCATAACAATGTCTGGTCAAGTAGAGGTCAGGTTCTAGCAGGGCAAAAGAGCTGAGGTCAGATTCCAAAGAGCAGGATCAGGTGAAACAAGAGGCCAGAACCAGTTCCAATGTCAGTCAAGCAAAGCAGAGAGCAAGTGCAGGTTAGCAAAGTCAGGCAAAGTAGAGGGCAAGGTCCACCTAAGCTAGCAAGCAAAGCGAGTAGCACCCTGGATAGCTCCAAATGGAATCTGCCGGTGGCTGAACCATAAGTAGAACTGCAGCTCCCTCTAGGCAGCTAGAGCAGCCTCCTCAACCTGGTGTCTTCCAGGTGCTTTGGTCTACAACTCCCATCAGCCCCAGGCAGCATGTTCTCAGGGGTTTGGGAGTTGTAGTCCAACAACCTCTGGAGGGTGTTGGGGAAAGCTGAGGTCCCCCCCAACAGAAATCGTGGCTATGCAGACACAAGCAATCATGTCAGCCCTCTGGCCATTGGGGGGGCGGGGAGACGCGGGTGGCAGAAAGGGTCTCAAATGTGATGATCCTGTTCCGCCCACTGCTGGCTTCCTCCTCCTCGCCTGGAGGCAGCATGTGGCTCCTACCAGATTCCCTGCAAGGGAATACGTATGTCCCTTGACCAACAAAAAGGTCAGCCACACTGCAAGTCTGACCATGTCTCTTTACTTTTCTCCTCTTTTGTACAATGGGGGTTACTCCCAGGTAAGTGGAGTTAGGATTGCAGCCTCAGAGTGAGTATCAGCTCTCCCCTTCTTGGGACAGGACTGGAAGTTACAAGTGAAGTAGCTTCTAGGCTTGCCATATTTTAGTCTAGCAAATCGTGGACCATTGTGCAGCTCACATCAGTGACGCAAAATGGCATCCAGGGGCCTGTGTAACCCCAGTGCCATCCTGGGCAGGTCACCACATGGCTGGAAAACAGGCAACCGATGCCTAACAGTCGCTGTCGCCCTGTAATTTCCTACACAGCACTGTTGGTGCAACAGACAGAATGAATGCACAGCATTTCCACACACCCTGCAAAATTCCTCCAAGCTAGCAAAAAGACCTAGAAAACAAATACAATACAGCATAGTTGTCTTTTTATAGTTTTTATTATAAAACTGGCTTATGCCGCCAGTCCATTTTGCAGAGAAACTGAAGCGAACAGAGCCCCTTTCCCCGTTGACCTTCCCTCGCACCTCCCTCCAGTGCCGCCCTTGGACTGGAAGGGTCTCGGGGCACAGACCTGCCTCTTGCTCGCCGCTGCCTTCTACATATTGAGGGGTATGCATCAAGCACCACGAGGGTCCTGCTCCTTAGGGACACGGGCCAAGACAGGCAGGCAGGCAGGCAGCCCCCCCCCCCGCCAGCCTCCATTTCCCACGGCCCTCTTCTCCCTTTGCCCACGAAGGACATGGCTCCCGCTCAGCTTCGCCCGCCCGCCCTGTGACGTCAGCCTCCGGCTCTCCAGCCCCCCCGCCCCTCGCCCCGCCCTCCCAGCTGCCCCCCCCGCCCCTGCCAACCTCCCCGGCTCTGCCGCGTCGCTCTCGCCTTCCCCGCAAAGATGGAAGTCGTCAACCAGGTGAGCCTCCAAGTCAGACCCTGCGAGCAGCTCCCCGCCGCCCCCCCGGACCCCCCCGGCCCGGCTGCGGGCAGGAGCCCCTTGACGGGGGGGCGGGGGTTAAGCCAGTCTCCCCCCGCCGCGATTTGCAGCAGATGCGCGGAGCTCAGGGCGGGGGGGGGGGCTGCGGAGCAATTGCTGCAGTGAGGGCGGGGGGGGGGCGGAGGCGCCGGGCTGCCGGGATGAAAATGCCCTCGAAATAGCCGGAGCCCCCCCCCCTTCTTCCTCCGCAATGGCTTCGGAGAGGGGGCTGCAGCAACGTCGGCGCGGCCAGGCGACAAGATGCTGCCGTCGGTCATTGCAGCAGATCGGAAAGCGGGCGGGGGGGGGCGCGGAAAATGGCTGGGCGATGCAGTAGAGCTACCCCCGGGGGGACGGCGCTTGGGGAGCCGAAGGACGCGGGGGGGGGAGGCGAGCCCGGGATGCTCTCCGTTGCAGTAAACAGGGGCGGGGGGGGGAGGGCGATCGCTGCCCCCGCACGCAAGACCCGCCGCCGGCAGAAAGCGGGGGGGGGGAGGGGGGCTATGCGGGCCGCAGCAAGTGTACCCTGCGGGGGGGGGGAGGGAGACAGGTTGGGGTGGGCAAGGGCTGGGGGGCACGTGGAGTTGTTTTGCAACAGAAGGGGGGAGTGCGGGTTAGGGGTGGGGGGCGGGCGGCCTTTCTCGGCGGGGAGGCGTCGGGCAGAAGGGCCCCCTCTCCGGCTGCTGCAGCAGCAGATGGTGTTCGAGAAGCATCAATATGGCTGCAGAAGAACCTCAAGGCGCAGCGGGGGGGGGGAGCTAGGGATCCTGGCGGGGGGGGGCCTCTCTTCTCTTATTTTTCCAGGATCTGTGGGAGGCGGCTGTCGGGCAATAGAGAAGGTTGGAGGGTGCAATCCGGCCGCCCCATGCTGCGAGCCCGGGAGGGCTGGCAAGGAGGAGATGCCGCGGAGGGGCGTCTTCTCACGACTCTTCCCCAGAGCAACTGCAGTCAGATGCATGGGGGGGGGGATTTTGCATAGGATGGGGGTGTCGCTTTTGAAGCTGCGGGGGTTGCTGCTCACTCGCTTGGGCAGCTGGCCTGGGGGAGGAGGTGCAGTGATGTGTAAGTTGAGCACAGGAAGGTGGCATTAATGTTTGGGGAGGGAATTTCTGGACGGGGCACCCAGAAATTAGGTTGGACTTTTGGTTTTACAGTGGGGCTACTAGTCAAGGAGTCAGAGGGGTGGGGGGTGTCTGGTGGTGGCCATTTGCAGAACTGCTTGCCATAATTGGGTTTGGTAAAGAGAGAGTCCAGAAATGGGGACTTGAGATGTCAGTTTGTGTTGTGTTGGGAGAGGCTGCGATCCTGAAGAGGGTGTGGGCAGTTTCTTTGCATTAAGACTCTCACAGCTCAGTCTTGTGCACATTTACCCAGAAGTAAGTTCCACTGCATTTTGGAGGGTTTACTCCCATATATGGGTGCTTAGGATCACAGCCCCACTCTCTCTTTTTTCACACAGCAGAGGGAAAAGAGAACACATCTCCATAAACCTCCAAAGGTGTTTGGTCAGTGAATCATAGCTGTTTTGGGGTTTGGGCAGCATCTGGTAGATAGAATGTAGCTAAATTTGGTACTGTTGGGCTTGTTTTGCCTTTTAAACATGTGTTAATGTTTGTGTGCTTTAAGGTGTTGTGATTTCGGATCTGGAACTGCTTGATGTGCGTTTGCTTGCCAAGCCGGCCCAGCTAGAGAGGCAAAAGTGTGCAGCCCTTTAATGGGTGTCCAGCAGCATCTGACTCCACTGTGTTAACGTCTTGGGATGGGGAACTGTTAGCTGTGCTTCTGACTAGATCCACTTTCTCAGTGGAGCGTGATAGATGTAAAGCAGGGGTGCTGATTGAGGTTACTGGTGGTGGTGCCCAGGATGGGTTGTTCTGAATGTCTTTTTAGGGTTAGGGATGATTTTGTGCAGGTGCAGCGTTGTGCTGGGTCATGAGCTGGGGGTTAATTGCTCATGGGCAAGAGAGTTTTTTGCTCTGTTTTGCAAGGAGAAAAGATAGACTGGTGGTTGGAGGACAGTTTGGGTCTTGGGCGATGTGCGTAGGCAGTGTTGTCGCATTGCCTCTGAGTGTGCAAATCAGGGATATGTGTGTCATAACTAGAATGGAGCTCGCCAACTGTGAACCAGTATATAAGCATGAAAGATGATGCATGTTGGGGCTATGGGATGCACAGACTTTGAAGTTAGTGGTGATGTTTTTGTGGGTAGAGGCTGAGAAGTGGTTTATGGTTTATGTGGGTGGTGCTACTGCTGTACTTCATTTTACTTTCACCTCCCTCCACTTGAGTGTGCAGATCATAGAACGTTATGGAGAATGGCTGCTGCTGTTTTGGATGGATATTGTTTCAGCCTATCCCAGAACAGATAAACTCTCAAGGTGGCTTAAGTAAATCACTGTCCCTTCAGCTCTGATCTGTGATATGGGGACAATAACACTGGCCTACCTTACATAGTTGTTGTAAGCATTACTTTTATAAAATGCATGAACACCTGGAAATGCTAAGTATTCTTTCAGCAGATGGTGAATTGCTTCCTTCAGAAGGGCAGAGTGTTTTGTGTTGTGCAAGGGAGGAGAGACTGATCTCTCTTACAAGTTGGTTTTTTATGGGTGTACTGCAGGACTAATTGCACCAAGAGAAACGTCAGGACAGAGGATGCGTCTCACCTTGCTTTTTGTGGTCTTTGAGAGGAAATAGTTCTCTGTGGCAGCCTTCCCCAACCTGGTGCCCTCCAGCTGTTTTGGCTATGATGGCATAGTGCTTGGTATGTGGTTGCCTCAATTACGGTGGTATTAGAATCAAATTATTTGTTCCTTGAGGGCGTGTGTGGACAAAGTTCAGGAGATAGCCAGAGGAAAATCTGGCCAAGTCAGGGGCTAACCCTGAAGCATACCAGTGCAAGTAGATGCAGTGGGAAAGAGAACGGCGTTTCCTTGTGCTCTGGCATTTGTCACCGTGTTCCGTTGCACCAGTAGCTGTTTAGTCATGCTGGCCACATGACCCGGAAAGCTGTCTGTGGACAAGCGCAGGCTCCCTCAGCCTGAAAGTGAGATGAGCACCGCACCCATAGTCAAATTTGACTGGACTTAACCATCCAGGGATCCTTTAACCTTTTTACCTAAACCAGGAGGAAGCTGGTGGATCATTGGGTGGAATCTGACAGATAGAATCAAAGCCAATCAATCCAGAGATTGAGCTCGGATATTACTGGCTTTTTAAACACCAGCACTGGCGGTTACCTGACAAAACTCAGCTTCACTGGTCAGGCAAATAAAAGGCTAACAGGCTAGCAACCAAAGTTATTTTGGTAAGAAAATATTGTTGTCTTTGAGTCCAAAAGAGGTTATGTGTGATATGGTTAAGATGTGATACATTAGGGAAGTGCTGTGTTATATATTGGTGGTAAGAATGACTGAATATTCAAGACTTCTGTATTCCACAGGCTTTTTAATTGGATTCTTGATTTTTTAGTCATAGCACATTTTTTGTTCCATTGTATTCCATATCCTGTACACTGCTTAGAGGCAACTCTAATTAAGTGATATAGAAATTGTCAAAATAAATAAACATAAGGTGCAAAGGTTTGGTTTTAGAGCACATAAGAGGAGCTCACCTTCTTATCTCTCCTCATGAGTCACTGGTTAGAAGGGGTCAGGCCAGAGCAGAGACTCACACAGAGACATGAAAGGGAGTTTCATCTGAGAGCCGGTAAATGTGCTGCATCTCTGTGATTTGGGAAAGGTTAAATGCTTCAGTTCAAACTGTGCCGAGGTGGGATAAAACCATTTGCCCCCAGTGCCGCAACCCCAGAGTCGGTCACGACTGGACCTAATGGTCAGGGGTCCCTTTACCTTACTGGTAGAGGTTAGTTGGAAAGCCAGTGCAGTTAAGAGGCAGCCTCTTTGGTGGCTTGGTATTTGGGGCTCAAAGCAGACTCACTTCTGTGAAAAATGTTCTCCAGTTAATTATTGTTTGGAGAACGTTTGTGATAGATCAGTCTTCACCAGCCTGGTGTGCTCCAGACGCTTTGAATTGCCTCCACAGTTGCACTCAGATCCTTTTGGGGATTCTCCCAGCACAGCCAGATAGCCTGTGACCCTGGAGGGCTCATTGAAGTAGATGGGACTTGCCCTGATCACTATAAGGCAGCAGCACCATATACAGCTCAGTGGGAGAGCATTTGCATCCAGGCCCCAGCATTTCCAGATGAGGCTGGGAATCCTCTGCCAGAAATTCTGGTGCTCAGAGTAGACAGTGATGACATAGGTGGAATACCATAGAAGGCAGCTTCCTAGGTCCCTAGGCAGTTCCTACAAGACAGCAGCTTCTAAACCAAACTTGTCCTTTCTCTCTTCACAGCTGGTGGCCGTCGGGCAGTTCCGGATCTTCAAGGAGCCTCTAGGCTTTGTGAAGTTGCTAGAATGGGTGAGTCCAAGTCCTCTACTTAGTCACCTTCTGTGTAGGCCAAAGACGGGCTGGGAAAGAGGCTGTCCATTCTGTTCCTCCCATTCTTTGCTGGATTCATCATCATCATCATTATCATAATTTTATTTGTATGCCACCTTTCCGTAGTTAAAACCATGCTCAAGGTTGCTTACATCATGAAAAGATTTTCATAATTACAAACACAACAAAAGGAGCTATAAACAATAAATGAAACACAACCAAAAGTGCACAATTTCCACATCAGTCATAATATCTAAAAATAAAGGTATGAAAATTTAATATCCATA